TTCCTTGAGCTGTGAAACTCCACTGCACTCGGTGATCGACTTGTCAGGGCTCCCCCACAAACAAGCGGCTGCTGGGGGAGAGTGGGTGAGTTGTGTTTGGTCTCTATGCTAAAGAAACCAGGCAAAGCTAAAAAGATTACTGAGCTTGTGGCTATAGAGTGACTTTTTGGTTGAGGTTTGCACATGGAGTGGTGCTCTCCTGCTCTCCTCCTTTTCAAGACTGGCTTTTGACTGCAGCTGCAGTCCACCACTATATTCAATCCACCGAACAGGAGAGAAACCACCAGAAACCTACACTACCTGTAAAAATTACACATTAACATTGAACATTAAAAATTACACAAACACAATATTATAAAGGGTACAGTCTAAAACTGCTTTGTCCATACTTATTCTGTTTGTCTTCAAAATTATTTTGACTTTGTAGCAACAATCAACCCGTTGTTAAATTAATTCAATCTCTATATTTAACCCACACATGCTTATTGGGCTTTGTACATGTGTCATCTTATTATTACAGGAAATGAAATACTGCCCACCCTGAACTCCTCTCCCTCCACCTCCTTCTTCAATCCTTGCGGCCTGTCCATCATCCTGTCAATGTGTCACATCATTCAGCCACAGCTTTTCCCTCCATGTCAACATGCTGGGAAAAGCCACGTCAATATTATGACAATTGTTACTCTGCTGTTATGGATGACAAATAATTCAACAAGATTAATTAATCTTGTTAAAGTAAAATGTCTTTAAAAAAGGAGCAAGACTGAGCAGGTAGCCAACTCCTATCGACGTCTATAAGATGAGGCAGTTTAATAGTTAAATTTAACTCTCTCAAAAATGTAAATGTAAAACCAAGAGCAACAGCAATCAAATACCTTGCTCAGTTCAATACGTTTGCAGGTTTTCAAGGCAAGGCTGACCCGAACTGGTACCACCCATAGACTGTATATACTATGGACAACTTGGTTCCGCCTACCGCCTGTATACAGATTTGAAGCCCAAAAGCACTCGATATTTCCGGGATTTTTCTTCATTACCTGAAACCAGCGCTGCGCAGTAGCGATTTGCGCATTCAGCCGCGCAATCGCCGGGAGTCGCTGTGATGACGCTCGGCTCAAACAGCATATCCCCCCGGGTGAGCTCCGCAATTCCTGAACGCCAATAGGCTGTATCAGGTGTCAATCATTGAAAACATGAACCCCCTAATAACTTTTAAAAACGGAACTGCACAGAAAAAAGAGGACTTGAGCACAAACCAGTCTTACAATAACTACATGTCAACGTCACAAGCAGGGGGGAGAAAAATTTATATTCTGTGTAATAAATTTCTGTCCATTCTATATACAGTCTATGGTACCACCATTAGTTTACAACTCAATTTAACTTAGCAGGCTTTAATGAGCTGTGTGTGATTTTTTTGTTTGTTTTCTGAATGATTTTAACTTTTACAAGAACTTGAATGTCCTCTATAGTCAACTATTTTGTAAAGCTAATCAATTAAGCTAAGAAAGTTGAGCTATTTAAAAAAAAAAAAAGGTTTCAAAACATGACTTAACTGTAATGTTTTACCTGTTAGCCATGTCCTCAAAATGTTTGCTGATCTCCAGAGGAGGTCATTGACTGAACAGGGCGGAAACAATGCATATAAACAGGGATAGAGTACATTATTTTCTATTGGATGTAAGTAACTTACAAGCAAAGCTAAGCTCAGATAATAAATTTACTCAACTCAACTCAATCTTGTGTAATAAAAGCAAATTAAACAAACAATTTCACCCTGTTCATTTTATGATGAATGAATGTAATGGTAGCACCAGCATGAAAATAACCTAACAGAGCTAAAACTTATTTGGGGTTTGAAGAGGTAAATTGTTGATATCATCTCAACAGGCCTCAGAGTGGGGGGGTCAGGATCCCCTGATGACTCAGAGGACACTGATGGGGGTCTTGAGATGCCCACCAAAAAAAACATTTAAAATTTTCTGAAGTTGCATATTATTAATTCATGTAAAAAAGTCATCATAGATCAAATTTAAAATATAAAGGAATGTGATGATTGACTGTTGATTGACTGTAACACAGGAAACACAGTTACATCTGCACATAGTTAGGCTCCTTTTCTGCAGACCAGCCAAATGAGTTATTCAGGCTCTCAGCCAGTGAAATCTCACTGGTGCTCACAGACTCTACCATGCGACTACTTATTAAATATTGTATATTCTGTCACTGCTGCAGTCCAAACACGAAGGTTACTTGGATCCTGCTTCTGAACCTTTTAAAATTGCTATAAAATTAATTCATGTTTGTTTTGCTGTTGTGTTCTTTGGCATTGTTCAAGTGTCTGTTATAGCCTCTTAAGTGCCTGCAGCAGTACCCACCTCCAGGGACAACGGAGCTCACAAGACCCTGACACCAGGAGTTTGGGATTGCAGGTTGAGAAGTTTGTAAACCTCTGCACTTGAAATATATTGAACAGAATAAAAAAATATACAGATTTAGACACACATGGCTCCAGTAGCCTTAGGTACTATAACGAGAATTCAGATAACCTACAAATGATAGATAACCTCCATCTTCATTTTCCTATAGTTTGTTACTTTTAACCCCTTATTATTCTTTCTCGCCATTGTTTCCTACAAGCATTGATTTGTTATCAGTTACTTCTCCTACCTCTCTTTGGCATTAAGATGTTACAGAAAGGGCTGGTTGGTATTATTGTGGTTCCATAGTGCCATCATGTGGTTGCATGTGGTGGCATATGCCCACACATGCATACAACAGACACCATCAGGTACACTAGTATAAGCTTGATGTAAATGACATTTTACACAACACCTGAGATTTAACATGTGAAATTTAGTTAAAACAGTTTTGCAGTGACAGGGTTGTGTGGTCTGTGTTATGTACAGAATCCTTTAAAGACAGCTGCCTGGACAATTCTCTGCGGGGCCTGTAAGAGCCAGATTTGTGTCAGCTGACCTGAAATGTTATAAAAAAAAATATATAATAATAATAAAAAAGTTAAAAAGCCTTAAATGTAAAGGTAATAAAAATGGTTCAAAAGTTGTTAAATTTTGGGCAAAAAGTTATCACGTTGTTGGCTCAGCATCCTGTCACATTCACAGAATGTATGGACAATTTGGTTCCTTCTTCCGCCAGTATATGGATTTGAAGGCAAAAAGCTCTCAGTATTTCCACAATTTTTCTCCACTTCCTGAAACCAATATTGCGCAGTTGCATTGTACGCACCGTTGTACGCGCTCCACTGTGACTCTTGACGGGAGAGTCGCAGAGAGTCACTGTGATGACGCTCTGCTCAAACAGCGTATCCCCGCTGGGTGAGCTACGCAATCCTTGTTCACCCATAGGCTGTATCATGTGTCAATCATAGAAAACATAAACCCCTAACCCAGCAAGGAGGCAGATGGCGACCATTCTATATACAGTCTGCATATTATTACATTATTGACCAATCATTATATTTCAGGGTTTTATTTAAAAAATTTGAATAACATTTCAGGTCATTGTTACTTATCGGGCTCTAACAGGGCCTTTATATGCACAAACTTACGCCTGGCAGAGATGCCTCAGGGAGTGTGAACACATGTGTGAAATAAATACAGCAGAACCACATTACAGAAGACTTGTTTATGAGAATGTTTTTACATCCTTAAGTGTGTTGACCAGCTGCTAGGTGTAAATACAAGGAAAACAAATAACTGAACAGTCATTTAAGCTGAGTTTTTTAATTAACAACAAGGAGCCCACACATGCTGCACTTCAGTGGAGGGCACAAAGATGTAAAGAGCTGCTTGGCAACTGTAATAGGATCAGCACCCCTCACACTCCCACTCACATCTGCCTTCATTGCAGCTAGCTGTGAGCAGGATTATTCTGCCTGTAGGTGACGCTTATGTACTAAAGGGGCTGATGCATATCAGCATTTTGCTGATGCATGTAATGTCAGAAAATTAAACTCCAGAGAACTTTAATAAATCTTTTCCTACTTTTCTCTGTATAAAAAATTGACCTTATTCGTGCTATGTCATCTCTATTTCTATTATATATTTTAATCACAATCTTCCTTGTGGCTAAAAATCTGCAGGAAAATCCAAAAGCTGTGGCACAGTGTTTGCTGTACGCACGGAAGCATAATATATTAGTTCAATTTATAAAGACATTGAAACCACCAGGGAAAAGAAAAAACCTTGGCGACATGTTCTCCTATCTTCTGCTTCCTGATAATTTCATTATTGCTTCCCTATCAGTGTACCTCCCTCCATCCCTCAGTTGTTGTGAATCCTCTTAGAGGTGGATTATGGGACTAAGATGTCTGCACTGAGAGGGAGAGCGAAGGAAAAGGAGAGCATGAAGCACACAGAGTGAAAGAGAGAGCAAAGGAGAAAAAAAGAGGAGAAATGGAGAAAACCCCTCGGCCTAAAATGGGCCAGGAATGGGGTAGAAGGTGGTCAATAATTGGGGTAAGTACATTTCTGCAGGCGCAGCAGGTTAATAGTGCACATTTTATGTTCTCATGTAGCAACAGAAAAAAAACCTATAGCTGGTGCATTTTTCAGTAGTTCTTTTGAGTGTTGTTGTTCTGTATAAAGCAGCTTAGAAAGTGAGATATGGAGAAAAGTGTTTACCTCGCTCCTAATTGAGCTCAGTTGGAGTCTCAGTCTGAGTTTGGCTGGAGCAGCTGAAATAGGCACGCTTGTTTGTGAGTGTTTATTCAGTTACCTGAGGACAAACTGGAGTCATGTAATAGACTGAGGCTATCACCTTTCTCCTACTCAAGCTTATTTCAAAAACATAGTCCTGTTTGAAAGAAAGGATGAACAAGACAGGGCGGGCATGAGCTGAAAAGTGTCTATTTTTCTTCTCTTGTTTTTCCATGTAGGAACAAGTGGTAGAGCCTCACACGGTGAAATGCACACTCCTGTGTCCCATCCCCTCTCCAACTGACAAAGCGGGAGCAAAATAACCGAGCAGCAACAGACATGTCTCTCCAGTCCCAAACCAGCTCTCCCAGCTGGAGCGTGTGCTCTGCTCTCTGTTTCCTCATCGTGTTGCTTCCTGAGGCCAACGCTGGCATCCTGAACACAACCACTCAGCGCAATGGTGGGGGAGCGCAGTGTGGGGAGTATACTAACCAGGTGATCACATCCTGAATACGCAACAAAGTGTTTACTGCTCAGTGTATCCTCCTATTTAATCTTAGGTGTACCAGGCCTGTGTCAGCATATTTCAGCTCTGGAGGAAAAATGGGAAACTCTTTTCAAATACGTTTACTGTACTGGTGTGAATCAAGAGAAATAGAAAATCAAATGTTCAATACAGCAGAAGAAAATTAGACGATAAAAATGGAGCTCTGGTAAAAACAGAGGTCTTACTTTAGAAGAAAGTACAGGAGTGTGATCAACCAAATATTCCTATAGTATGTAATAATATGTCTCCACAGGTCTGCAGCACTTCACACACTCTTTGTAATGTGGTTACCTGCTGTCATCAATCTGAACAGCTGCACGAGCATATGCTCAGATCATAGGTGTTCGCTCAAACACAGCTTTGGCGGTATTTGAATTTAATTTGATGCCTAGCTGTATACTAATGTATAACTGTAACTGAGCCATGAAGGAGTTCTATAAAGTGAAATGCATTCATAAGCGTAGTGGAAGCAGAAAGATGCTGTGACAGCTTAACCGCTACAGCTGAAAGGGTAGTAGAATAAAAAAAGCATCACTTCCTGTCTTCAACTGCAGTGTACTTTACACAGTGATGCCCACAGTTTTACAAAATTTTTATCCACAAATCTGAGTGGGTATCTCATATTTTTCAGGATTCCAACTTTTTTTTTTGGCATAATATAGAAACTACTGCTTCAAAGATAAATGTGCATAAGAAATGAGAAATTTTTGAAGTGCACTAACTTACCAGAGTGCTTTTTAATTTCCAACCACTCCAGTGTATTTACATGCCTATAAATGGGAAACCATTACAGAATTGACACCATTACCATAACACATTATTGAACACATTATTTAAGAGAGTGCAAAAAATGCACCTGAGAGGATGTTTTTATACCTTTCAATTTTTCATGACTTTTTAAAGAATGAATTGTTTGTGCAGTCTGTGAAATGCCAATAACAAAGAGGAATGTGCAGAGTCCAGAATTAAGTTCTCAAAAGTGTGTGCGATTTATGTTTGCCATTCATGAAACAGTCTGTCATGATGTCACTATAAAACACAGTTAGTGATATGAGTCACATTTTCTACCTGTTTTTTTTTTTACTTTCTCCATTCCAACATGTCTAAAGATGAGAAATAATTACTTATTAAAATCAAAAGACAACAGTAGTTTGAAGCCAAAGGAGTCAGTAGAATATCCCTGCAAAGAAATTTATTTCGAAGGCACAGCTACCACAAAAGAAACACAGAAAATAAAGTGGCTCCATTTCCACCACTAATTGTAGCCAGTCTCCCAAGATTCCACAGAAGTGTCTGTTTAAAATTTAATGTCCAGCCTTAGAGTCTTACAATTTAATTGTACCTGCAATATTTATTAACTGACTAATTGTATCAGCACTAATCCAGGTTCAAAATAAAGAGTTTGACCTGCTAAACTCCTCTTTGTGTGTCATGTGAGAAGATGAGGTGAGCTTGTAGCTGCTTTGTAAGGACATGACACCAAAGGAAAACTTTTCACACGGAGAGAACCAAACTTTGTCTCTTTTTCTGAAATTTCCTCCATCCTCACAGGTGATGGATGGTGGAATGTGTCGGCTGGTGGCCACGCTCCCACAGCTGGATGAGCAGAAGTGCCCGGACATGTTTCGCTGCACGGATGAGGTTTCCTACTGGCTGCATGAGAATGAGGAGAGGAAACAGCAGATTGTGACACTAAAGGAGACCATATCTGAGCTGCAGGAGGAGCTGAGGAACCATCGGCACCGCATCAAAGTCCTGGAGCTGCAGGTGACACTTTACCTATTGACTTAGCAGACCGGGGTCAACTTTCAGCAACAATCTTGTCAACTGCTTTGAGGGCTTGCTTTAGGTCTTCCGGAGTTTGAACTGAGCTGAAATGTGACACAGCTCACTCTTTTGCTCAGTTGGAGAGATTTTTGGTATCTGTAGATTTAAATATGATTTGAAAAGGCTAGATTTTGAGAAAATATTTTTATTCTGTACATACTTTCCCCCTCTTAGAGCTTTTTTAGGTCAGAATAGGTACAGTTTTATCAAATGAGTCTTGATGTTTTTACCCATGTGTTTTAATTCAGAAACACATACCATTAGATACACACTGTTCTGCAGTGTAACGTCATGCCTGGTCATCAAGCTGGCTTCCCACCAACATGTCCTTGACCTCAGCTGCTAACTGGATTAGCCTGCTACTCCACCACGTGTTGCCTCATGCGTTTCAAGCAGTGAGCCAATATACAAACTACACCCAGCTTGACGAAAGGCTGCTGCAAGAAAGGGTTCATGTGTTGGGTTGTAAAGGGTTTGTGTGTTAATGGGAGTTAGTGTTATCCTCCATGTCCAGGCTAGGAATAGAGCATACTCAAGACCGGAGCTTTAAGTTTTATGAGGGACTGGTCTTTTTGTCCCAAGAGCATTGTGAGAAGGTGCAGGTTTTCATTTGAATGTGTGAATTGAAAAAAAAACTTGAAAATCAAGTTTTCATTTATGTTTAGCAGCTTTTTGGGTGAAAGAGACAAGAAGAAAAGTACACAGCCCTTATTCAGGAGAAGTGCCAGGAAATAACAAATTGAGGTGTAATGGTGGGGGAGCTGGATTGAGCAAAAGATTTATAATGAAATGTACAACAAATAATATTCCCCAGAGAAAAGGCAAGCATTGCTGATTCAGGACATTGTTGCTGCAATAAACAAATGCAGCAAAGAAAGAATCTGTGGGTGCTTTAGCTATAAGGAACTACTGCAACACTGATGGCATTGAAAGAGAATGATTGAACATTGTTCTACAGCAGAGGCATGTCGAGAAGGCGGCCAGAGGTGGCATAGGTCTCTCTAGAAATCTGGTTAACCACCTTGAACTATCATTAGCCCACTTCCTGGTTGATGTCACACACCAAAATAATCAACAAACAAGTTAGCAAGAGGCTAGCAAATGGCATATCAAACAGTGAACAAGCAGATAGCTTGGTCATATTTACGTCCCTTCTTTATCTGAGGATTTGTTTACAGCTCAACTTACTTCAATGCAAGTTTAGGTACATTTGAGGTGCATACATGTGAGAGAAAACCCTAAATGAGCTACTTCTCTGTGTTCGGCTAACTGAAAAATTCCACTTTGTGCAATTTCCTACAGACTGCCGTGCTTGCATCTGGTTTAAAAAGTAGGGTGACCATACATCATGTCCCCTTTTTGGGGGGCTGTTCAGCCTGTCCAGGGGGAGTTTATAAAATCCGTAAAATGTCTGGGGTTTTGTATGGAGGTTTTGAGTTTGTGTACTGTAGACGAACTGATTTAGAAGCGTGTAAAAAAACTTCTAAATTTTGCGCAAGACTCTGCCCGGTGTAGTAGTGTCCTCTTTGGGGGGATTCAGAATATGGTCACCTATTAAAAGTCCAGCTTCAGTCAGAAGACAATAAATTAATTTCTATGACATCATTTGAAAGTAAAAACTTTAAAACTCAGAGTTGCATTTAACTTTCTCTTTTGTTGGTATTTTAGGGTGCAAAAACATTTTCATCCTGAGTCCATGAGGATTAAGGTTTAAAAGATCTAAATCTAGATCTAAATATTGCCACACTGTTGTATTACTTGTTCAAGTTAAAAGTCATACAAAAGAATAAAACATCTGTGTCATAATTTAATGTCAGTAACTAAAATGAATGCAATAAAATACGGTTTGATAAGATACGATATGATAAAATATGATATTATAAAATACAGTACGATAAAATACAACACAATACCGTATGCTACCATATGAATTAGTACGATTGATACAATCCAATACTTTTGATTTGTGGACAGAAATGAAAAAAAATTATATATTGTGTGCTCATACTTCCACCCCCCTTCAAGTCAGTGCCCAAGTTACAGTGCAAAACAATACAAGAACTTTATTTAACTTTATTCTAAATTCACTGGTTAGGTCACATGTACCAAAAATGTCAAAACTCTCCTCCACTCTGTGGTACATTACATAATCATATCATGTTAGCTAGCACTTCCCTGCCATGTGTAACTATCATCAGCCTGGCACTCCACACATGATAGCAGCAGCTTCAGCTCACTGTGCTCAACTTGTGGCAATTAATGCCCCTCTAATTTCACATCCTCATTCCTAAGATTAGCTCTCCATGTGTTATCACCATCAGCTTTATTTATTTTCCTGTATTTTCTCATTGATAATACAAGTCAAGTGACCCAGTCAGCTAATTAGCAGAGGTGAATTGTATTAAACTGTAACAAAGTATTACTTGTAGTTACCCATAGGCTCGTAATCATTAGAGCGACAGTCCCAGTCACTGTTTTTATATGTCTCTGTGCTCTCCTGATGTCTTGTGTCAGAGTGAAGAGAAGAACCATTTGAACATATCTTTGGAGCAGCGTTTTCATGAGCTGGAGATTCACTATGTTGAAGCGACAACCTTACTTCATCTACAGGGTACTCTGATCATAGACCTCCAGGTAAAAAAGCCCTGTACAACTTTTAGGGTTAGAGCGCGGTGTTAAAAACATTTGGTATTTAATAGTTTCTCTACTTTTGTTCAGCACCAGCTTCAAAACCTGACACTTGTTGTGGATAGAGTGAAAAAAAGCCCAGGTTGCATGATCAACATAGTCCGACCCAACTCACTGATGAACACTCAAGAAGCTCTGCACCCAGGTACCACCTTCAGATCGACCAAGCGTACACATCATGTACAATAATTTTCCAGCAGAGGGCGCCAGACTCCCATTCATTGCTGTCTTACTTTCCCTTCAATCAGAGCTTCAGCATGTGAGGAACTGTCCCATAGACTGTGCTTCCATTTACTACAACGGAGTTAGGAGGTCAGGACTTTACACAGTGGTGCCATCACTTGCCGGCATGCCTGTGGAGGTCTACTGTGATATGGACACAGAGGGTGAGTCACACAGACACACATGGCGAAAAGGCTGGTTTTCATTTCAGTGGATCTTGGCTGGAATTTCAAAAATTCACTGAATGAGTTGGCAAGCTATCAATCAATGGAGTACAAAAATGGTTACTATACAGTTGTCCTATGTTATCTGTTGGCTAACTGGATGAAATATAAAGCAATACAAATTCATGTGATATGGTTAAGTATGGTATGGTTGGAAACCATGTTAAATGTGATGATATAACTCCATACAAAAGAACATGGTATCAGAGAAATAAAGGATGGATACTAGGGCCTATGATGCTTTATGACTTAGCACTGTAAGATGGTAAGTGACATCCTCTGCTATCCAACCCATGACTGTTCTCAACCATCAAGTGTGATACTTTAATTTCCCTCAGGTGGTGGCTGGACTGTGATCCAACGACGCCTTGATGGCTCAGTAAGCTTTGACCGAAACTGGAGGGACTACAGGGATGGCTTTGGTGACCTTCAGTCAGAGTTCTGGTTGGGCAACGACCACATTCATGACCTGAGCACCCAAGGGGACTACAGCCTTCGCATTGACCTGGAGGACTGGAGCAACAAGCACAAGCATGCCATCTACCAGAGCTTCAGGTCAGTTTCAGGAACACTGTCACGATCATGTTGTGTATCTCTTGAGTGTTTTTATTCTCTTTTTCTGTGTTTGCAGTGTGGAGGATGAGGAGCATCAGTACCGTCTCCATGTATCAGGCTACAGTGGGACAGCTCAGGACTCTTTCAGCTGGTACCATGACAAGCAGGGCTTCAGTACACCTGACAGTGGGAACATCTGTGCTGAGATCTCCCATGGTGGTTGGTGGTACAACCAGTGCTTCTACGCCAACCTCAATGGTGTCTACTACAGAGTAAGTGCTCTGAGATGAACCAATTCCATTATGCTTTCCAGTTATGAGAATGTTTACTACTTTCTCATCCTACAGGGTGGCCATTACACTCCAAGGAACAGGGGTCCTCTGGGTCCTGATGGGATAGTTTGGTACTCCTGGAAGGACTCTGATTATTACTCCCTTCGCAAGGTCAGCATGATGATCCGGCCACGTAGCTTCCGGAGCCGTTTGTCACCTTGACATACTTTTATCGTGACAACAGTGAGGACATGGGAACAATACCGGAGACAGAAATCACACGGCTATCTCACTGAGACAATGCAGTGATGATGATACTCTGTGATCTATTTAAAAACACAAGTGGTAAAAGTAGACTAATGGCAATAACTGCAACTGTGGAGGACATACTTGATATTGTGAACAGCTCTGACTTTTTTTTGCTGAATATTTGTGAAACCAAACCCTTTGTACGCTAGATTTATTTTTGGGAAACTGGAACATTTTCTTTCAGCCATGAGTCTTGTTTATTTTCTACAACTTTTTTGTACGTTTAGTTTGATACATGACATTTGATGCACTATTAGAAACCGGTTATGTCCCTAAAATCCTTCAAAATTTCTAATTTTATTTTGTACGCTTAAGAAAATGATCTTTTTTTTGTACGTTGTTATAACTTGAGTGTACAAGATACAAAATATTCTTTGTGGGATTTAAGGGGCTCTGTAGAAACCCAGCCAAAGGAAAGTGTGTTTGTATGATGTGTTGATGAAAGAGTCACAGTTTCTCAAGCAGATTTATGGTTTTTACTGCCTATTTATTTCGTGCAATATAAGTGGTGTGATAGCTTAATGGATAGCTGAATTTCAGCCAACTACATATTTAAATATGTGTTAAATATCATTGAAATAGAAAGGTTTTACTAACATTCCCTCAACAAGTCAAGTCAGGATCCCCTGACCCCTGTCCTGCCCCAGCTCCACTTTCTTATGCTCAGACTCAGTCAACATGTTGTTGTTTTTTTTTTTTTTGTGTGCAAAGCAGCAGAAAATCTGGTGGATTCATAAAATAGTGTTAAGACCTGAACAGACAATGCACTGCCAACAAAGCAGAGCACTCTCAAGTGCATATGTAGGCCTGCTGCTTAAGATGGTGCAAACCACATAGCATAGCTGTGGTATCAATTTAATGCAGATGTATAATCCAAGCCCCCTTTCACTTAAGTTACAAGTCCATATATCAGTAGCAAAACGTAGGTCATTGGTTAGATCACATCATGCAGGGCAGGAAGGGATCTGTAAAGTAGGAGCAACTAAGAACACTGTTACAAGTATTTAATAAACAGGTGAAAACCTAGGTCTACCTTGAAAAAGGTGGAATATCAAATGCTGTAAATTGATTTTGTTATCAATTACTTGAGCTCTAAGTTGTCTCTGGTTAACTTTGTGCTGCACTAAATTAGCACTACAGCAATTTAGTTGGTGCTATTGCTAGCTGCTTTGCATTTTTAGACTCCATCTTCTGAGGTGACTGATTTTTGAGGTGTCTTAAAAGATTTGGTGTATAAAAATGTGGACTTTTTTTCCTGATGTCAAAATAACAGGCTTTGCAAACAGCAGTCTTGTTATCTGTGTCTGTAACTATGAAGAACATACACACCAGTGATGCCATTTTTATCCTTGACAGCTTGTTGCTTGATCTGCGTCTCTGTAATGGATCTCATTCCACCTCATATTATGTCAAATGTGTAGGCTTGTTCATGAGTAAATGAAAGAAACTTCTATCAGTTACTTTGGTTGGATAAACTTTTATCTTCAGAATAAATATTCTTGAAAATTCCCATTACTGACCTGATGTTCAACATGCATCCCTAAATTTGATAGCTACAGTGCTCTGCATAAATGAGTACACCCTCGTAGAGTTGTCAGAAAGCCTTTAGTTTCCTTTCAAAATCAACATTTTCTATGTCAGACAAAACAAAAAAATGTCGGCCATTGATTGCAAACAAGATTTTTTAAGTCGCATACAAAGAAGTATTTTTTTTTCAATTTAAAATCAGGATGCAAAAATGAACACACCCCGATCAAAGTTCTGGGAGCAAAGCTAAATTTTAGTTACCATATCACCCTTATTTTCATCTTATGGTAAATAAAATATGTTAAATTCAGCTTTGTCAAAAAATTGTACTTCTGCTCATCTAGATATTGAATAATACATTACTTTAAATAGGGGGTGTACTGACTATACATGGCACTGTATAACCTAAACCCTTTGATTTGATAGGAGTTGCTGTCTTATAGCATTGAGTCAGGCAGGGTGCAGCCCGCTACTTATCTGAGATGTATAAAAACTTGAAATAAGACACAAATAACTTCATGCAGTTGTTTCTGAGGACCTGTAGCCTAATGTCAGCTCAGTGTCAATGTCTCAGGCATGTGTTAGGAAGAGTCTCATTAGAGAAGCCAAAGAGTCAAAAAAGGAAGCAGATTAAATAGCACTATTAGCTATTAGCTATATGAGATATCTGAGGACAAGTGAGAGTATTTTAACCCAAACCATTCTACTCAGGCTTTGGAATAGTGCCAAACACACTAGAAAATGTATACTCCAAATTAAAATGAAAAGACAAAAATAATGCACGTATTGTCTAGTTTATAAACTCTTCCTGACTGGCTGCTTTATGTGGCCAACACATCCAGCTGCACCTGATTGGAGTACGAGCTGAATTTGTGAGGTAAAAGAGCCCTTTCACTTCCTCCACAAACACACTCTTTGACCCTTCGCACAGGCTGCCGACTCATTCTCATTCCAATCCATGTCCACGCAAGAGTCTGCTGCGGCGAATAAGGACTTTACTGTGCACAAGTTCGACATAGTGTAGTAGTGTGTTGAACACTCTGAGCCGTGCAGCCAAGAAGTGGTTTCTTTCAGACACACTCACACAGAGAGATAAATCAAGTCCCAGTGAGTACAAATCATTGTTTAATAAATCAAACAGAATTTGAGTTACACAGTATTGCAAATATTTCTATACATAAAATAGTATTTCAGTGACAAGAGGCACCTGATAGCTCTGATAGAATATGTAAATATGTATAAATGTATATTTTCCTTGTATCAAGTGATAAGAAAACAAAAAGTGAATAAGATTAGAGGATGATTGAAAAGTGGGCAATGAAAAGAGAAACTGCATATATATGACATAATCCAACCTGAACTCTCCTTCTGGTATAAATTCTTACATTTAACGTTTTCTACTTCTGCTTCATATAAAACACCATCATATGGTTGAAAAAAGGACAAAAATTCTGAAGGACAACCAGCAGAGAGATGTCATGTTTGACAAGACCATAAATCATCAACGCTTCAAATAATAAGCCCCAGCTTCAGTAGCATTATCCAACATTTATCTTCTCTTCTGGATTGTAAACTGCAGCGTCATGGTGCACAGGCTGGGGTGGCAAAACTAGGTCTACGGCTTCCATTTTCCTCAAAGGGATAAGGCACGTGTTCAGGACAGGAAGAGGGTGGGGATTCCGGTTCGCTTTTGGGGAAGTGAAGGAACAAAGGGGGGGGGGGGGCTAAGGACTGCCGGCAGTGAATATTGGAGAGGACACACTCTTGCAAGACTGAACAGAGTACTTACTGAAAATGATTGGACTCTAAAACGTGAACTACAAGACAAATATGATCCAAACAGACCAAACACTGGCTTAAAAAAGAAAGTAAAGCTCTGACTTAATGGAATTGCTGCATTCAAAAATCAACCCCCCTGCTGAACAGTTAGGGGAGCGGATGGCTTTGGTTTTTTGATATCTGTTAACTTTTGCAATTTATAAAAATCATTTCTTAATCTTTAAATTTTGCACTGAGAAAAATGAAAAATGGCCAGTATTGCTTTGATAAATTGCAAGCTCATGCATGACTGCATCCATACTTGTACAATATGATATTACCTTAAACTACAGAAACTCTGATATGTGTTTTTAAAATGAAACTTGCATGATTGCCCTCCATAACACAAGTAAGAAACTTCAGGCGGACTAAAGAGTGCGTTTGAATAGCGTTTCTTGCTCTGTGTGTCTTGGATCATTGCTGATAGAAAAAAAATGTTTTGTCAAAGCCTTTTTCAGCTTCTGCAAATGCTCATTAACTGTCTTTCAAAGTCTGAGAGCAGGGGAATAACAGAACACCAGGAGCTGGGATTGTTAGCACGAGCGGCAAAGGAAGAGATGAGGTAAGAGGGAGTGAAAAAAGAGAAGTGAAACTCAAATTAAAGGCAGGGAGCAGAATGCAGAATAAGCAAAAGTATTTTGGATGTTGAGCTGGTATAACTCATCTTGCCATGGAGACTTAGGGCAGTTGCTTTCACATTGTAGTGAACTGACCGTGTGCTTGTCTCAGTTTTTCAGCAATCTATGGGATCAAAAGAAGAAACAAGTTGCATGAAAACAATAGCAGGAGGTCGGGGGGGGGGGGTTACTGAGTATCTAAGCACAGTACTGCTCACCAGGTAACATAAAAGGACAGGCTCTCAGAGATTCTAATTAACTGTGATGGATGGTCGATAAAAAACAATCTTTACCGTCTCATAAAACTTGACTTGCTCTTCCAGGTACAGCTGCATGACTCTGTTGTAGTCATAGATACGGTTGTTGTGGAAGTGGTTCATCTCAGCTGTGGGAAACAGTAGGAGAAACCACTTAAATCTGACACCAAGCTACCATGGTTGCAATTATAGATATTTCTAAGTGAGTGTGTTTGTTACCTTGTAATGTGTAAGACATGGTGCTGGCTCGTTTGGCCATGGTGACTTTGTCCTGAGGGGTTATTTTACTGGTGGCAACCAGCTTGTCGGCCTCCTTCACTTTGTCTATAGCAGCCTGAAGGGAATTAAAAACCGATATCTCAGATACATGTTCATTACATGTTCTATCTTCTGGACTAAGTTAGACCACCTTTTCATTATACTGTGCACTTCATACCAATTTGGGAACTATTATTTAAAGCTCCTTTGAGTGACTTTCTGCCTGTGTTGATTATGGTGCCCCATGTGGACAAAGTGCTTATCTTTACACTGTTGACAATTTCATCTCACCCTTTTGAAAGTGTTAATTGACAAAAAATATAAATAAATAAAAAACAACAACTCCTGTTGTCTTTTAACAATGAAACAATCACTCACTTAATAATCGCTTCTATGGAAGCCCCTCACAGCAGTTAGAAGCATTGAAAATTATGATATTAAAAGTGTTAATCTTGTCATTAATGCTCTTATTTGCTCTTGAACATCATAAAACCATCACTGTTCATCTCAACCTGTTTCATACGGTAGCCCTGAGGTCCAAAGCACAACGGAAAATCAGAAAACACAACGGCAAAAGAGAAGACACATTTGCCATTGTGTTTTCTCTTTTTGTGTTGTATTTTCCGATTTGCCGCTGTCTTTTCTCTTTTTGTGTTGTGTTTTCTCTTTTGCTCTTGTGTTTTCCGATATGCTGTTGTAGTTTGTACCTCAGGGCTACCGTAGTTTCATAACCCTGACCCGACTTTTTGTTTGCACATACACTGGTTGGAGGAGGTGACTGTGGTAGCTCATAGCATCTTCAAGATTGCTCTTTTTCTGTGTATGGAAGTAAGGGCAAATGAACTACCATTACTTATAAACTATGCTGACCAAAAAAGTTCCATCAAATTCATTAAAACTGAAGAGTTTCTCAGGTCATGCTGTCTTGTATATTTTGTGCATTTCATTTTTGGATATCTTTGGTGGTATGTTATCCTGTGCTTGTACATTGTAATATTCCCAAATCTACAATCCGATTTATATTTATTGAGGGCAATAAATATGACAAAATATATTTGAAGGCTTGTGTTCACTAACAGCATTTGAAGACCTCAGCTTTGGAGCACTTATAACAGCCCTCACTGTTACTGGGTTACAAAAGTTGTACAAAAGCCTGCAGCACTTCTGCTCCCTTACAATGTACTGTGAAGTATGTTCTAATGATCTGAATGCTTTGCATACTCTGTAATTCTAGGGAAGTTTGACATAACATTTTAAAGAGTTCATATCATCGTGCAAGCAGCATCTCTTGACCTGGGAATCTGACAAAACAAGTGCAGTTAGTTTCTCATAGCATGTAGAAGTAACACAATCCTTTCCAGGAAACATAAGTGTAATTGTGTCCTATTTTACCTTATGGACTCCGATAGTGTCCGGGAAGCATCCAAGAAGACCCTTATATTCATTATTTGTTTCCATAAGGAAGTGGAGGTCTTTCTTAGGCTGGAGACAAAAGGAAACAGAGTCATGAAGGAAGAACTGTATCCTAAAATTGGAACACAAGACTGATCCAACACAGGAAACAACACACAGATCTGACATCTGAGGAAATGTTACATCACAGGGAAGCACACTTTTTTAAAGAAAGAACCTTATTAAATCTTAATGGGGAGATTTTAGTTCATAACGGAGTGATGGCCGTAGTGTAGATTATCATCCAGCAGACAGTCTGTGGTGGGCTATGACAGATAGCTTGTGTCTTTTTGTTTTATCTTAACAAAACGCAACACAACACCCTAGTCTTCTTCTTTCTTGGAATTAACCAGGAAAAACTTGTTTGCGGGGTTCTGGTATTACTGCACATTACATACTGACATTACTGCACACATCACTACTTCTAGTCTGAGCTTCAGATAAATTTTACAGGAGGAGCACTAGGTATACGTGTCTGCAGCAGCGCAGGCTTACCAGATTAATCCTCCCAGTGAAAGCTGCTGGGACATCAAAAAAGGCCTAAGATTGATGTTATTTCACACTACAAAGACCAAACCACACACGACCAGCAAAAGAGCCACAGTCAAATGGAGAGTCCAAACAACATTGATGATAAGTTTTCCTGTGGCTCTCTTCTAGTATAGAAACAGACCTCACATAGGACATGAGGTTAACAGGGTTCACTGAAACATCACTTTAAGGATGTAAACACAGACACAAACAGGAAACGTTCACACAACATCCTACAATGTGATGAATGAGAGGGCAAAAAAAGAAAACACACTCCTATTCTGTGATTTGGAGGGGAAACAATGTGAAACATTGCAAAAGAAAAGACAGCCAGACAGTCAGTGTCTTTTTAAAAGATGCAACAGTATTGAAATACTTGACAGCAGGCAAAGTACCCACCTGCTCTGCCACCATCTGAGCTATCTCCTCATACGTCTTTCCAGCTGCTGTCATGGCATCAGTCAGGGTTGACTCGCCTGCAGCAAAGAAATAGTTAAAATAAATCATAGCTGTATTTCTTCACATATTTAGTCAGCTAATTCATTTCATAACAGATTCTCAAATACTGGAGGTGACAAAGGAGTTTGCATTTTGAAACAAAAGACAGCAAAGCAAAGAGAAACCTAGATCCTGCGCAAATCATTCAGTGGGTGAGCAGACGTTGTTGTACCTTGGTATCCGCTGCTGGTGAAAACAGATGACAGGTTTTGGAAGGCTTTCCCGATCCTCTGGTACTCTTTCGGCAAAGCTGTAGAAGGAGACAAATTCAAACATGCTTTGTAAAGGAAGTGTTGACAAAATAGTGAACATAATGAACTATTCTATGGTATAAATAGTAATTACAACACAAAGTGGAGGTGTGGCCTGTGTGTGTGTGTGTTAGTGAGGTAAAGTGTTCAGCTTCAGTTCAGTGTGAACTTACGGCCTGTACATCTCTTCCAGTGCTCCTGGCCAACTGTGAGGATTTCCTTCACGCCGTCATCCATGGCTTTGGTAAACCTACTAAACTGCTCACATTTCTGCTCCCTGTGGACATATTTTACTCTTAAAAATGCAACACGGACAGCAGCTGCAGGTAAACTGTTGATTTTTTTTCTTTTGTAAAAAATCAGGCCTGACTAAACACTCACACTTCTAAAAGATCCAGGTCTGGAGCTTCAGGCTCTATCGTAGTGAAGATCATCACTCCCACCGTCTCATCCTTCTCTGCTTTTCTCTTCCCCATCTTCCAGTCCTGTTAGAATAAACAATGGATTTTTTAATACAGTTACAATCCCATCAATAATTATCCTTTTTTAAAGTATTGAATTACAGATTTTTTAAAACCAGGTTGTATTTTAGAACATGCACTCACATGCATCAACCCCCCATGACCACATCTTTATTACAAATCTTAAGAAACAATAAATGAAGGAGGAAGAGCACACCTTCTCGTCTTTGTAAGTGAGGAAAGTCTGGAATACTTCACTGCAGGAAACAACAGGGTGCCTGCACATCCTGGTCATCCAGCCCTGCAACCGCTCCATACGCATTTTAATAAACTCTTCTTCAAATCGCCCTAAAACAGATGAGAGGGTGCAAAGAAATGAACACTTGATTCACATAATCGTCCCCAATCTTCATCCTCTCTGTGCTTTATATTTGTCAAAGTTAGACGCTTACCTGTCACCTGCTTGTCTGGTAAAGAAGGGATGGGGATGGCTGACCCAAATTTGTCTAACAGCCTCTCGTACAGCCAATCAAAGTGTTTGTATCTGTGATTGACAGGTCGGTTTGTAGTCTGAAAAGCACGGACATTGAGTTAAAATAAGTCATCCTAACAAGAATAAAACATCCTGACTTCGTTTTTCAGTTTACAAAACATTAAAAAAAGTTAAAGATATGAGGGCTCTTCTGTTCTCTTTATTTGAATTTGTGACTCATCATCTTTTCATCTATTTGGACAAAGGAACCTCTGTTATTGTGTACTCACACTGGGTGTGATTTGGTACTCGATGTAGCTCTTGAGGCCATACATTTTAGAGCCTTTCTTGGGATCAGCAACCACACAGTCAAGCTGACTTTCAGGATACGACCACACAGGACCAACTTCTCCCATCTGAGCAGAAAACATAAGGCTTCAAGAACTGCTACTTGGAAAACTGGCCCATAATTTGTGAGAAGTATAAAGTCATTAAGTGCAATACTCCAGGAAATAACAACAACTGAACTTAAGAAAAGCTGTTAATGTTCAACCTTCGTGTAAAAAGTCTTGTGGACAATGTTACAAGACACTGCACTGAGTTCAGATACATGATTTGAATGACTGATATTATGAGCAAAAACATGATGATTAACAGAATAGAACTGGTCAAAGATATCTGCAGATAACCTACATAGATTGTTAACTTCTCTTTGCCCTTTGCGATCTGCTTGCATAGGAGGTAGAGCTCTGGACCAGACTTGGAGAACCCAGGAAACCTGCTCCAAGAGAGAAAGAAAAAGATTGAAAGTGATGCTCACGGAAATTCATTCCACATGTTTGCTTGACCCATACGGTTTGATATAAGAGCTTTAGTGAGTTACACTCAAGGTTAAACAAACAAAACTTCTCTTTAACAAGAAAACAGCTGGATACAGTTGTGTGCTTTTTAGAAAACAGTACATTTGCAGTACACATGCATACACTTCTCAACTTCTTGATTTCCTATCACTAATTCTGAAGTACCTACTTGTTGAGGGAGATTTTCATTGAGGACCCATGAGCTCCGCCCCGCTGTATTGCTCCGCTATCTCCTGATTCTGACTCAGCGTATCCTACAGATGACTTCATGTCATCCCACTCATCATCCCACTCATCGTCTTCTGCTCCTGGGGGTACAAACATGCACACAAGGTTGTTTCTTTAAATCACAGACTTAGTGTACACATCTTGTGTTTGACAACCCTACAGACACATAAACATATACAAAGAAAGCTGTTTACACAAGATTACATTTTCTTCATAGTCACAGCAAAATTTCTAAAAAATCAGGCACAATGATTTTTCAGCGGGGGAATTATTTCACCATGCAGTTAAGTCTGCAAAGCATAAAACTGTATCTTAATGTAGAACAGGACACCTGGTTTGGTTTATCATACATTAAATGTTTAAATTATCCAGATTTCTTCTCTGGTGTTTGGCTAACCAAGGTGTGGACTTTGGCCGTGTTACAGGATTGATTGAATGAGAAGACGGTGCCAACAGAAAAGTAACAGGGAGACTTCAACAGGTGCTGCTGTTATTTTCTGCATCCATTGTGAATGACAGTGAAAAAATGTTTCAACTTTAACTTTGGTTAAATCAAGCTTAAATCAAGAAAATTACCCTTAAATCAATTCTTTGTGATGTTGACTTGCCAGTTAATTTAACTGGTGGCTTGTTAATGAATGGTATAATGTACAGTCAACCAGTAGTTATGTAAAATAGAGTCCTGGCTAGGCGAGGTCCATCCTAAAGAGACTCTTTGTTGTATGACTACTGACTAACTGAATTTTGTGTCTTTCAGAAAAACTACGATGCCAGTTTCAAAATAGTGAAAGAGTAGTGAAGCTACCTTAACCACGAGCACATAGAGAAACTGTAAGGAGAGAGTAGCACTCACGTTACCCTTAGCCTAAGGTAAAATGAGTAACATTTGCATCTATTTTAGGAAGATTTTTTTCCAGTTACCTTTGTCTAAGAAGCATTTTTATATTTTCAATCCACAGAGACCATCCTGAAATGCATTGTGTTCTAAGTGGGCTTTTGTTTAACAGTTTCTTACCTTAAGGGTAACATCAGTAAAAATTAGCTAATCTTTCCTCACTCACCCCTACTGTAGAAAGCATTAAATTATGTCTAGTGAAATAAAGAAATAAGCACAGTGAAAAACAATCTGCCAAAAAATAGGATTTACAAAGCAACAGTTGTTACGAGCAATTTTTTATGTGTTTGTCTTTGGCAGGGCAGACAGAATTCAAACTAATTATGAAACTCATGATGCAAACACTTACATAACAGATCCAACCACTAGTGGCCCCACGATGGGATATTATCACAATACTTGGGCCACAATACGATATTATTGCGATTTTTAACATTTTACAATACAGTAAGTGTTGCGATACTATATATAGCGATTATACAATTTTTTCAACTGTTAAGCTAATTAAGCATCCTGCTTTCCCTTATGTTTGTTTTAATTTCACAGTATTTTGCACTAATTTGCTCCTACTCTATGATGTCACCTCTGCTAACCTCACTGGACAAACAGTTGATTTTATTTTTCCATTATCATAGATTTGACTTTATATTAACAATTAATTTGGTAAATGAGACGATATATCACCAGACAAAATATTACGATACTATGCTGCATTGATTTTTTCTCCCACCCCTCGTAAACACATTCACATGGGATTCTAATTTCAATAAAACACATCATTCACCTCATGCAAACAAAATTCCACTCTCACCTTCAAATGGAACTTCACCCATCAGTCTCTACTGTTAATATTAAGTGTTAATACCAAGATACAAACTGGATGCTTCACACACATGCTTTCAAGACTGTAAATGATTCTGTAAGCAACTTTTTGGACTCTTCCCTCAGTAACTCTCATGCCAGTCCACACACAAACATCAGCAGAAAGCTTTCACCAGGCAGTGAACGAATACCTGTGCAATCAATAAGGTAAGGATACGGGTAGATGTCTTTGGGATGGGAAAAGAAAAAAGGGAAAGCCTGTTAAATTCTTCCTCTCATTGGTATTTATTCCCAAATATTCTCTTTCCTTCAATAACAGCTGGGGAATTCAAAAAACAGGTCCAACAGTCTGTCATTCTGAGTCATGCATGAGGCTAATTTTTCCGTAGTCTGGTTAAAAACAAAGTCATGGTTTGACTGTCTGATCCACATGGTGGAGCATCTGTGTACAGGGACACCCTGAGCTGAAGCACTCCGGCTGTGTGAGAGAAATAGTTTTCACGGTCAGATATGGTAAATCTATAGAAACAGGGATCAAAGCACCAGATTCAAATCACGGTGCTTCACTCCGTATGAGTTTAAGCCTCAAAACAGGACGCAGGACTCTGTCATTGATATGAGGAATATTTTTCTCCTGCTCTGTAAAGCAAAGCCCATCTGCAAGGTATTATGTGTGAGGACTGTCTGACCTATATTTCCCTCTGCAGAACATGTGTTCCATAATCTTCCTGTTAAAAAAATGAACTGTGTTTCTCAAGACTGCAGAGGAAAACAACAATTTGTTTTCTGCACATTTCCACCCTTTAAACTAAAGTCTTCCCCTGTCAGGACTGAGACATTCTTTCTTATTCTTTCTCTTCTCAAAACACTCAATATTTTTCCCTTTGTCTGGAAGAACTTTATTATGACCCACTTCCTGGACAGTTGTGGTGTGAAGAAATATAAGCAACTAGTATCCTGAGGAGAATCCCTGAGAATCCTGAGGATTCAAAAATGTATAAAAACTGATCATAACATAAAGCAACACCTGAGGGCTGAGCAGTTACATTTTAGTGTCAGAGTCAAACTATCCATTACAGCCTTACTTTCAATGCAGTTCTTACACCTACAGCTACAATGGTAAACAGTTTTGCACACTGAGGGCTGTATACAGCATTGCCCTGTTCCAATGTGCACCCAAAGGTCTGAACAGCAAGCCCTTACAGAATTAACTGACATCAGGCCTGCAGTGTGTGGATCTGTGAGGGCTTCGAGAGGTTTAAAATGAGGATTGGGATACAGTGTCATTGCATCACATGTTGCCTCAACGCAATAAGAAAGAACAATACAATGTCATTCTCCAGTATGAATCTATAGTCTACATTAAAGACCCACTCTGATGAAAATCATGTTTTTCTTGTTGTCTACATGTTCATATGGCAAGTGCAAAAATTGCCTTTCTGAGTATTTCTGCATTCAAATCGCTGTGTTTAGGCACAGTGAGATTTCTTACATCACAACTACAAGCTCCGCCCCCTGGAGCCCCGCTCTGCAGGCCAGACTGGGAGAAATAGAGAGGACGATCATGGAACAAGCGTGTGCATTAGCAGATTGCAATGCTCAGAAGTAAGCTTATTATGATATTAACTTTCATCATATCCCCAAAAGTTATTAGTTTTAGAGAGCCAAATAGCTCCTACGTTACCTGCCACTTCTACTACATCGGCAATGTTAAGCTACAAGCTAACGCGATAAGGGGTGTGCTGTCTTAAGAGCTGGCCCTAGTTTCTGAGAGGTTTGAGATTTCACTGTGACTTTTCATACCTGAGACCGCGTCAAGTCAACATGATTGATAGATTGCCATTTCAGCTCAATTGTTCCGCATTGTAACTGTGTTGCTATGACAAATATCTAAAAGATGGATAAACCTTCTTTGATAACTTAAGCAAACAGATCAAACTTAATGAAATTCAAAACCTTGTAAAACACGGAAAAGTACAAAAGTAATTACTGGTATAAAGGGTTTACTTTGGAAGGACATCTTTGCAGCATGGCCTTCATTTCTCTGTCGAAGTTATACTGACATACAACAGACTCCAACAAGTTTAATTGCAAGGATAAAACCAAAGATGTATGACTATGTTTAACAATTCATCATGTCTGCTTAATGAAAAGCTGCTCCTACCTGGGCCCTGGTACGCCTGAGGATGGCCCTGTGATACTGCGCTCCAGGGGTCAGCAGCCCCCTTTCCAGTCTGGGTGCCCTCTGGATTTGACGCCCAGTTGTTGTTGGATCCTCCTGACGGATCTGCATTCCACACTGACCAGGGATCATTCCCATTACTTGCCTGAAAGAGACCGTGAAGAGGAGCAAGCGAGGGGTGAGGAGAAAAGTAATGAGAAATAGGCCTGGTACTGGGGAATGGAGTGCTGCTGGTTTCAGAGACTGTTAAACAACAGTACTCCAAACAGAGCATGCTCTGTCAAACACATGATGCAAATCCTGGCCTTGAGCAGGAACTCTGTTAGGATGATAAGCCTTAGAGGAGCAGTGTTGATAAACGCAACCGAAACTACGCAGAGGCGACACAGTTAAAAATAGAGCATAACTGAAACAAGGTGCATTCCAATAATGCGCGTATTCATGCAAAAACATTCTCTATTTATAGACTAATTTTTGTTTCGAGCATTACATACAAACTGAAAATGCAACTGCAAGGCATGCTTCAACCACACAGAGGCTGTTAAAGACTCCTATTAAAACTCCTGAGTATCTCATGCAGAAAAATGTACATGTGCCTTTCGTGGGTCAAAGTTAGCTCAATGCTAACAAACTACTTAGGTGCCTGAACTCAAAACTAGTGCAGAGGTTACTTAAAGGTGGGGTAGGCATGATTCTGTTAAAGAAGCATCTTTTTTTGTGGTGTATAAAGAAAAAAGCTTTTAATCAGTCAATAGCTATTAGTCATTGATGACATTTGGTAATATAATGATATCGCTGTGTTTTCTTATGTCTGTGTAATCAACATTTTAAATTTTTTGAGCGGCCCACGCTTTTTGACTGTAAACAAAGCAGTTCTCCACCTCTCCAAACCTTATTGGTTGTGAGGCAGATGCTGCTACCCTGTTTTGTTCACGAGCCCAAACAAGGTTAGCGTGCTACAACATCGGACAGTAGAAACCAACCAGAAAGTACGGAAAACTGTCTGAATCCTCCTTTGGCCACGACTGCCAACACAAGCAATAAAATGAAGTAGATACCGGAGACTCTGGCAGAATAACGGGCGCTTAAAAAGGAGGTAGACTGGATAAGAGCTAAGAAGCCAGGTCAACATCAGCATAAACGATGTGGGACACTTCGGGATCTTACGGACCCTGTAACCTTTCTGCTGGACAGGTAAACCGCTTTAACAAAGTAAGCCAAGCCTGGAGTATGTCACTTTATCCTAGTTTTAGAAATCCTGCAAACGTTGTGTTTGCTGGTAGTCTGTTAGCATCTACAGTAGCGCCAATGCTTTTTACTTTAACATTGACTGGGCCCCATTTGTAATTATCCTAAGTATTTATCTGCATTATATCTGAATTTAATTGGAATGATAGAAGTGAGCAGGAGCGTCTGTTTATGGGCGGGGCTTTCTGGAGCAGAGATGAAGGGAACAGGAGGAGCTGAGTGGAAAACTGGTTGGGAGGGGTAGAGTTTACGTTTAGATTTCTCCCCAAAAACTGGCACTTCCTCAGATCCTGCCTACCCCACCTTTAACACAAATAGAAAGGACTAAAGATGACTTGAGAACTTTCTCAGTAAAATGACTGCAATCACAATGACTGACACAGAAGTGCAACAAGAAACAACACTTCACCAGCAGTTTCCTGTGGACAGAGACACATTTTTAAATAGAATAAAAGTCCGACTGGATTGAATTTAAATTTTGATTTCATTTGTGAGACTTTGATCATCATGTGACGTTTATTTGCTTCATGATGATTCAGTTGTGTAATTGTGTTATCATACACCGAACATGAGAATCACTGACTCTTGCCTTTAAGCTTTTAAAGTTCCACTGGTGCTGATTCATACCACTCAGATAATGTGTGGGTGTCGATTGGTCAAAAGTAGGTGTGTACTGCTGTGCAAAGTGAGGCTGGGATCATGCTTTCTGAAAGGCAGAGGGGAAATTTGCTGATCGGAGCAGAGTGATTGGGTACGGGTGGAGGGCTCAGTTTCATGCCTCCAGCCCCTTCCACCTCCCTCGTATTAGTGGTTACCTCATCTGGGGATGAAAGGTAGGGGGAAACTGGGGTATCAGGGGTCTCCGGCTGGGGACTTAAAGCCCCAGCATCAACCTTGAGAGGAAAAAAGGTGACATCATCACAAAGCGCCAACAGTGAGGGGGTTGACACACACACTGTGAGGGAAGAGTTAAAGTGATGCTGGATATAAATGTTTGTGTGTTCAGTGAGAAAAGCGCTGAGGGTTGTAGGCTGACACATTTCCTGTGCCCACAATCCTACTGATCCAGCAGTACAGCTCACACTTGTGGAACTTCCTGCCTGCTGCTGAGGACGATTGAAATTTCACTGCACTTATTTCCTCTTGGTTCTATTTTGCTAGAGCGTAAACCTGTGTCAGTTATAAGTGCCATGACCACGATGAATATCCCCCGTAACAGCTGCTCTCACTTCTGCATCTCTAGGGTTCAGAATTACTGAGAAAACGTCAGCAACACTCTTTCTCCCCTTACTTCTGCTTTTCCTTCAGCATCAACACAATACAGATTTTTGAGTGGGAGAATCAGATTATACAAAGTTAGGTTAATAATAGAGCTGTACAATTATTTACTACTCCTACTATCTTACTCTTTCAGGGCAGAAAATATAACTTTCATATTATGCCGGTATAAATCTAAAAGAAATATTAATTGATAAGAGGAGTACACTACCTGGTTTTGTGCAGGTGCAGATGGGGGAGCATAGGCGTCAAAGATGGACAGATCTTGAGCTGCAGCATTTCCGAAACTTGGAGAAGGTGCTGAGGGTGCTGCTGCTGGGAACGATGGAAACTGCTTACTTAACTACGAATGAAAATAAAAACAAAAGTCTCATTAGGAGATCAAATTAGGATATTGGTGAGCATTCAAATGACTTTTAAAAGGTGCACTTTTCATTTTTTCCTTCCTCTGTTTACCCAAGGAAGGTAGCACCAGCTGGTTTAACCTCAAAGTGTTTATTTAGATATGCTCAATCAAACCATTTTGGCTTTTCTTTTTGTACAGTGCAGTTTTGTTTTTATAGACCTTTTCATACCCCGTAGGTTCAAAGAGTTTTTTTTTTTTCCTTCGAGAAACAGGCTGAATATTACGTAAGCTGTGAGTGCAATTGTCATCAGTGGGTTCTAATGACTCGGAAACACAATCACAACAGTGCAGGGGCAGCTGGAGTGGTCATTCAAGGTCAGAAAAACACACACATCCACATCCAGATGAACTCGTCCGCTTAGTAAAGCAGACGGATAATACAAATCTCTCTTTTGTAAAAACAAATACTGCATTGCTAGGTGATGCTGCAAATGTTATTTAGAGCCAGGCCCAACTCTGCAAATGTCTTAGTGAATGTTGTTTTTAAATGCAACTTTGTCTTTCTTTCTGAAAGACTACAGAGTGAATCATATCCCCATGATGTAGTCATAGTTACAAGTTCAAACTCAAAGCACACACACACACACACACACACACACACACACACACACACACACACACACACACACACACACACACACACACACACACACACACACATACAAATAAACCCTGATCAGCAAAACCCTGAAGGAGTCACATCCTGTTGAGATTTTTTCCTCTACTGAAAGAGAGTAGATGTGGAAACATATTTGACTGTCAGAGAGACTAAGAGGGTGCCATGTTTGATATTTGATGTGCTTTAGTGTACTGAGAGCATGATGTGCAACTTCACCACAGAGCATGGCAGCAGATGTTTCAGGGTTAATCAGTCCAAATACGAGATATATATATGTGTGGATCAACACTCTCACACACTGAGTCTATCTTACTTACTTCAATGTAGTCCTCTGGCACCAGTCCAACTTCCCCTCTTGAGTTCTGTGCTTCAATCCAACCACCTCCAATACCCTGAAATAGAGAGAGACCCAGAAAAACAAGTTAGCATACATAGCAAGAACTGGCTCAGGCTTACGGAGGGCTCAAACAGACCTCGCTACTGGAAATATCACATTGATTTATATGTATAGGGTTTTTAAATGATGCTGCAGCCATAAGGCAAAAGTGTACAGCTGAACCTTTTTTTCATCCAGTCATAAGGACAAACTCACCAGTTCATAGATTTGATCAAAAACACCAGTCTCAGAAAAGGTCACGTTACATATATAACTCTCTCAGATGCTGTCATTCTACTTCAGCAGCAATATTTCCTGATGATACGCAATAAAGCAGTTGAACTATAACTTGAATGGTATTTAGCACTTTGTATTACTGTAATTTAAGAGTTCAGGATAGAAAGAGCTGACAGTAACCAGGTTACCAAAGTATCTGTAAACACAGCAACAGCTCTGGGGACAAATTCCTGCACGGTCAGTTTATTTAAGAAAGAAAAAGTACATTCTGTTGTTGTCCTTACACAGCGGGTCCTGATTGGCCTAACTGCAACTTTGATTAGAAAACTATGTGGGTCAGCACACAGCGAGTGGCCTTTGAACTGTTGAGACTCGCTACGATGACATCATGTTTGCTGCCACTCTTTGTCCTTCCTTCCTCCGTACATGTTTGTGAGACTCGTCATTTGACCTGAGATCATGTGAGCTAGGCTTGTAAAAGACTGAGAGGAGTGCTGTGTCAGAGGAATCTTTGAACATTTCAATTTAAAACATGAGCAGATACTTTTAAGGACACTAAGGACAAAGAATACCACTTCTTAAAACAAACAAAATCGCACCTGCATTTTGGTGCATTTTATTACATTGAAGGTGCGATTTAGCTGTTCATTAATAAAGAAAATCACTTCCTGCAAGTCCGAATATTGCCGTCGGCAAGGTTGCTCTGCTTGAAGGATCCTGACGAGGTGTATCATACCAAATGTGGCTACGCTATAAAGTATCTCTTTGTGAGTCATACTTAAATAAAAGAAAATGTTGATGGTATGCTCTCTGTCCATGACACTGTCCTTCCTACATGTTCGAGATACTAAATCACACGTGCAAATTCAAAAAAAAATTGTATAACCTCCTGGGCTCCATAATAAATAGATAAAAAAAAATAAAATGAAATAACTGGTATTGGGACAATTGTTGTAATGGTTATAAAATGGTAATAAGGGTAGTATTGCAATCTGAGTCTAAAGCAAGGTTAAAAAGGTTTTGAGTTTATTTTGAAGGACACAGAGAAAGTTTGCTGTTTCTACATCCAGAGGCAGAGAGTTCCAGAGTTCATGAGCATGAAAACAGAGAGCTCTCTTTTCAGTACTTGTGCAGAACACATGAGGAACATTTAGAAAGGAAACATCTGAGGACCTCGGAGGCCTCACACGAGCAAAAAATGACAGAAGGTCTGTCATGTATGGAGGAGCAAGGTTGTGCAAAGATTGAAAAAAAAAATTAAAAGAACCTTAAAATATATCCTAGAAGAAAAGTGCAGAGTTTTAAGAAGGAGAGTAATGTGATTGATTTCCTTTTTGTGGGTTAAAACTCTGGCTGTGGCGTTTTGAATGAGCTGGAGTCTTTTGAAGAGTTTTTTGGGTAAACTGGTAAAAAAAAAAAGGGAGTTACAGTAGTCCAAACGGCAAACGAATTAAAATTTGAGCATCACATCTGCCAAGTGATCTCTCTAAGTTCAGCACAGATTCAGTCTTATTATGACAGAAACTTATGTAACGTGATGTGAACCAATCACAGGCACTAACATAATAATCAAGCTGAAGATAAAGCTCGCACAAATTAAACTTAAAAAGTCCATTAAAGCCTAATTAAAAAAAAAAACAAACACCATAGCAGTGGCACATGTGCAGGGGTGTGTGCAGGAGCGTGATCAACAGTGTGGCCACGGCTGCATAGGCCCCATGAAATCTGATCTCAAAACCATAACCTGTGAACAAATGCGGTCTAAAGCTGTTCAGAGTGAATAGAAAACTGTATAAACAGATGATTCAGAAATGCCTGTGACTTCTACGGGCCCGAGCCAATTTAAGATGCACTGAGGCAAAATGGAAAACTGTGCTGTGATCTGACTGATTCAAATCTGACATTCTTTTTGGAAGTCAGGATGCTGCTTCTTCCGCCCCAAAGAGGGGAGGGACCACCCAGTTTGTCATCAGCTCAGAGTTCAGAAGCTAGCATTAATGAAAGTATAGTGATGATGATGTATGTGGTAAAGAAAGCTTAGACATCTGGAAAGGCTCCATTAATGCAGGTTTTGGAGCATCTTATGCCGCCACACCGACAGTGTCTTTTTCAGGAGAGACCATTAGAAAGACAGGGACAAACCACATTCTGCATTTATTTAGACAGCATGACTCAGGAGTAGGGGTGCGGGTGCTAAACTTGCCTGCCTGTGTACCCGACTTGTCATTTATCGAACACTTTTGTAGCATTAATCAACGAAATATAAAGTCATCACAAATGAGAGTCAACACAGGGGACATTATTTCTGTGTCAGTCTTGCGTCATTGTTACTTAGAGGATTCACAAACCATTGGTATCTATTTTTGTAAGTATTTTATACAGGTTCCTAATTTTTGAGGATTTGAGTTTCATTAGGGGTAGTGATCCAACAAGCTTCACAAAGCTTCCTTTGTGTTGACTTTCTTTTTTCGGTACTATAAACTGTAGAAGAACATTTAACACAGAAGTCAAAGAAGAGGAACCAATCTATTAAAAAGTGTGAGCAAACTCCTGCAAAAGCTGTCACAAAAATTAACCATTTAATTCTTTTTCATTCAGGGTGCTGAAATTGTGACTTAAGGTCTTAAAGTTTGTGCCAGGACTATTTTGCTGTTTGCTTGTGTTACTTTTTTAAGTTACAAAAAAAAAAAAATCTTACACAGGAATTTAACATCACAATGTTAGTTGAACCTTAATGTTAGTAGTTCACAGAGACTTGACAACTGGGTACAAAAACAGTTAATGAAAGCAATTTGTTTTTTTAAGATTTGTTTGCACACGTGGTTCTTGCTACTCCTGCACATGTCAGCACCCCAGGTGTGCCAAGTCTAAGCTTATCTCTGCAATTGTGAATCTGCAGACAGTATGCACTTCATATGCGAGAGTCAAAGAAAAGACAAAGACGAGTATTTGTATGAATTTACCTGATTGGTGATAGTGACAGTCTCGCCTTCTTTCACTGTTAGCTCGTTGTTTCCAGGCTCAGCAGTAAAGTCATATAAAACCTGTGCCTGAACACAAACAAGACAAAATTAAAAACTTACTTTATGTCTCACCAACACTTTAATGGGACAACACATAAATATCTACATACACATGTCTTGCATCAACACATCTAATTGAAACCCATTTATTATAAAGCATGTACAGTTCATTCAGTGAAACAGGATGAACTAGTTTTTCTTGCCATATTTCGCTGACTCTGACTCTCAACCAAAAACAAGGCCAGAAACCACCATGTTACCTGGTCCAGTTTAATGCAAAAGACTGTAGTACTTCTCACAGTGACCCACATCTACTAATCTGCCCTCTACAGTGGCCCCAAGACACAAACAGCCTCAAACACACATTAACAAATGCATGCAACACTTTAAGGTAACTGTGAGGAAACTAAATGGGTTTCACTTTTCACAGTTCATTTCATTATCAATTTACACACTCCCTAACTTGCTTCTTTTTGTACACATTAATTCAAATAAGTTAGTTGAACTTTAAGCTGTAAAAAGCATGCCTTTGCCAATACAGTATCAAAGTCACAGTAATGTTTGGCTATCTAACTAAAAAGTTCATTAACCAATGACACACACTACAAGGCCATTTGTTCTTTCCTGAATAGAGGTCTATTTTTAGAGTCACTCTGCCACCTCCCAAGAGTCAGGAAGCTGGATGGTGTGTTTTTTTTCTTAACAGGAAGTCATGAATAGAGCCGCAGCTCTACTCTCTCCTGTTTCCAATTTTAAAACCTGCCTGATTGTGTAATAACATATATAAAATGTATAGTCCTGTTATATTTAAAAGGGTCATTTAAGTGTAATTTCACTTAGATGTTTGACTCTAGAAAATTATTAACTTTCATCTGTATGGGAGGATGAGTATTCTGGGTTCACTTGAAATCTAACTTAAATACTCAGTGCCTATGAGGGCAATTATTTTAAAGAAATAATTAGTAAATGCAAACATTAAAAAGTCACTTGCACATACACTTAGCCTACAAAGTAACAAGAAACCTGTTTTCTAAGAATAAATACAGAAATAAAAAAACAACACATCTAATAAAACTGGAGTTCATACTTTCAACTGTTAATTAACACGTGTTAAAGTGTTAACAAACCCAAATCTCTGATAAAAAAATGAAGTCTCAGGCCCTCGAATTTCCTGTTACTATAAAAGTAAAACTCATAAATGCTCACGCCATTTACACTAAGTTACCCATTAAATCATAAATTAATTGAAAAGGTAACTTTTTTAAACCAAGGCACTGCTGTGCACTGTAGTATATGACTAAGATAAGGATGAACTGAAAGTCACACACGAAAAACTACATTTCCCAGCATTCCACGGAGGTACAAGTGACCCGCACTGGATAGGTAGTAAAATGTCACAAGACACTTTCTTAATGAGGCACATTTTCCATGTACAGCACAAACATATGATTCATATCTACTGCATGCAAATACAGGTCCTTAGGGTTAATTTTGCGTTAGTAGACCGAAAACTAGACTGTTTTTATATATAAATATGAAGCTTTTCGGGTGAAGTTTAACTAGGAAACTGTAACTCTGTTCCTGTACAAGTTAAGAACGCGTATTATTCACGAGTGAAACCAGACGACATTACACAACTGGTTGAGGTTTCTAACAGCTTAGAAAAGTACTGTGACTTACCTTCAGCGCCATTGTCGAAGCATTGATCAATCATTACAAACACAGGCCCTGCGGTTTTCAGGATTTCCACTCCTCAGCTGGTCATTTCTCCCCGCTGCTTTTCAACTAAAACCGAAGAAAACACGGGAATCCCTCCTGACAGAGAGCAGCAACTCCAACGACTTTAAACAACTGTAAAAACTTCACAAAAACCTGGAAAACAGACTATGTGGCAGAGAGAGACGAGTGCAGTAGGCTATGGGTGAATGTTTGAAGCGCGTAGAGAGCTCCTGTCAGCACGGAGGGAGTGACCTACTGCACCGCCGAGACAAACCGGAAAGGTAGTCTCGCTCCGATATGCCCCTCCAAGACATGACTAACATTAGCGACTGTGAGATAAATACACATACAGAAACAAATAAAATAAAATACAACTTGTTTTAAAATTTACTTATTTTGGGGAGTACAGGTATAAAGAGGTAAAAATCCACCCAGGAGGAAAGAACACCATTTTGAAATCAGACAAACAAAACTTTGTGACCTTGTTCAATTTTTTAACTTATGCCTAGTGACATTATATTTAAAGAAGTTGGGAAAACAGCTACACAATTAAAATGGTATCAAATAAAATATGTATTTTTTAAATGTTTACATATCTCTTTTGAAAATGTTACCATTCCGTGTTGTTAACACTTTGACTTCTTATTCGTTTTTCGGCGTTTTTAAATGTCTTTTCCAACTGCGTAGAGTCCTTCAACATGATGGTAAATTAATTTTATTGAGAGCCACAGTAATTGAAGTTCCAGTGTATCATGATATTCTCACGGCAGCTTCAGTGGTGTGTTTACTTACACTGCTGATGTCGGATAACAGCTGACTGAACCACTGAAAGGGAGGAACCCTGAGTGTGTTTCCTGTGGTTGAGTCGGCCTCTGCTGGAGTCAAGCTGTCAGTACATGAATGTTTCTGAATTTGTAGTAGTAGGGTAATAAACATTTTACAATCATGAAGACTGAACAATGGTAGCAGAGTTTCCGTTTCCCAACAACTATTGTAACAACTATTGACTCAGTCCCCTTTTTCTACTACTAACAGGAGGACTCTCAGTCACGTTACCTTTTTGCTACAAATTTAATTGCATATTTTGAAGAAAAGTTGATGTTAAAGAATTTACAAGACATCAGAAAAGTGTCAAGGTAATTTCAAGTAACACACACATTTTACTGAACTCATGCAGTAAAGTAGGCTACCGAATAAACTAATTTTCTGGTTACTTACCAGAAAAAAAACGCTTTATTTATTAAACAAAACAATTTCTGATACTGTACTGCAATTTGAACCACTGAGAAAGTATGAAACATAAAGTTAAAAATTTCAGAGCTGTTCTTCTTGGTATCAGCACTCAAGGGAAACCTCTTGCCCAATTGAAATACTAGGTAATAACTTAAGTGTCAGTAATGCATAAAGAGAAAGAATTATTAGATGGTCTTATTTCTATGACATAAAATAATAACAATAATAATAATAATTAAAAATACTACTACTACTACTACTACTACTACTACTACTAATAATAATAATAATAATAATAATGATAATAATAATAATAATAATAATAATAATAATAATAATAATAATAATTATTATTATTATTATTATTATTATTATTATTATTATTATTATTATTATTATTGTTGTTGTTGTCATTGTTGTTATTATTGTTATTATTATAATATAAGTTATAATTGTTATTATAAGTAATACTATTATTATTATTTTTCAATTATTAATATTATTGTTATCATTATTACAATTATTATTATTATTATTATTTTTTAGTAGTGGTAGTAGTATTAGTATTAGTATCCTCATAATCATTATTTTTATTGTTATTATTATCATTGTTGTTGTTGTTGTTGTTGTTGTTGTTGTTGTTATTATTATTATTAGTATTGTTATTATTATTATTAATAGTGGTAGTAGTAGTAGTAGTAGTAGTAGTAGTAGTAGTAGTAGTAGTAGTAGTAGTAGTATGAGAAGCTGGTACCACAGAGCTAAAAAGAAGTATTGCTCGTGCTTTGGCCAATTTCAGCACACTTTCATATTTTTCTTTGGCCAAACTGAGAGTTTTCATTCCTTCTCCTTCCTCATCACCTCCTCATATATCAAACACCTGAGTCCAGCATTAGCTGCGCTCGTCAGTCAATAGAAAAGAACCGGTGGAACAGGTTGTTATCAATAAGGGGCAGGCAGACAGAGGATTCAGTTTACTGTAAGTAGGTGAAGTCCACAGCCCACCTGAGCACAGCTTGTTGAAGGGGACTGACATCAAAGAGAGTGAGTGCAGATTCAAACTCACAGTAATTAAAGGAAAATTTCTTTACTTTGATAATTTGCTAAATATTAAGAAATTCGGACAAATTACACAGAACAAGTTTCCCCAAAGGTGCAAACAGCAAATGGCGTAGCACTTTTTGTCTGTATCTCTTGGGATCATCTAGCAACGCAGGTGTGTCTTGCTGGGAGGACGGATATCTCTAACTGTAGACTCACAGTGAGCTCAGTCAGAAGATCTCCACCATTACAGAGACATCATGCTCTCTTTGCTTTTCCTGATGATGGTCTTGCCTTTAAGTGTAGGAGGGTCTGATCCTACCTTACCCTTCATGGAGTACCTGGACCAGAACCATTTGGTCTGCGTGAAGTGGGGCTTTGACAACCCACAGGGGAACATTACATTCAAACTGTTGATCAACACAACAGGCTGGGTGGGTTTCGGATTTAGCCCCAATGGAGGCATGGCAGGGGCAGACATTGTGATGGGGGGTCTTGGATCCAGTGGAATCTACTTCAAAGTGGGTTTGATTGAAGATTTCGCTGTAATTGCACGTGTTTTGATACTATAGATAATCATAATATGACTCAGCTAATATCAACCTCTATGCTGATCTTTTTTTTCCTGTCCATTAGGATTATTATGCCACAGGGGACTCAATGCCGTTGGAGGATGAGCAGCAGAGCTACACACTCCTCTCTGCAAATGAAACTGACGGTCAGACCATCATGACCTTTCAGAGGACCATCCAGTCGTGTGATGACAAAGACTTCAGTATCACTGTAAGAAATTCACAGATTATATAAATCCTTAAGGGACGGTATGAGATACAAAGGATGGTGAAACTCTGAATATTACTTTTAAATAGAAAAAAAGTGGTTGTAAAATATCACCTGCAAAGTAGCATAACATAAACAAATAAAAAACTAAGGTATTACATAAGAAGAAAAGTAAATAGTACAAATATAAATGTATCTATATTTATGATGTTAATCTATGATGGTATCTTACTGTATCTTATTGAATGGTAGCATATCAAACCATGTTGAAATTAACTTTATTGCTTCAAATTGTACTGTAATGTGTCATGTAGTATGATATCAAAACAAATCTTACCATATCTTTACATATTCTGTTCTATAGTATCATTAAATTTAATATCCAAAACATCCAATTAATCCAATCATATCATACCTTACCTTATCCTATCATATCATGTTACACCATTTTGCATAGTATAGTATGTTTTTGGGGTTTTTTTTAAGTAGAAAGAACATTTTCAGCTCTCCTATATTTCAAGAACAAGTAAAAGGTTGAAATAGCAAATGTTGTTAGAAGTCTTTTTTTTTTTTTAAAGAAAAGTCAAAAGTCACTCAGCAACACAACAGCCCTGAGTGTAAGAAACATGAAAATAAGAGGAAAAATTAGTATTAAAATGTCAACCTTTGGGGTTAATTTGACAAGTAGATTTATCCATTTTTAAACACCGAAGGATTAAAATATGAATTATTCTCACTGTTTTGAGTGCGAAAAAAGAACAAACGTAAGCATTTTTTAAAGACAACACTTGTCAACAATTATTTATGAAAATATACTTCCAAAATAAAGGAAAAAAAAACAGCGAAGTATAAAGCTATTGATCCATTACTTAAATCTAGCGTATGGTGTCTTATCCTATTCATTTGGATAGTTATTGCTGAATCATCCAGAATAAATAATTAAATTTTGAAATTTCTTTATTAGAAAAAGTTATTTTATGTCTTTAAATTGATGAAAAATCATACTTTAGACAGAATGATGTAAAAAGTGTTAAACCTGTTTTTAAGAATGATGGAAAATTTCTCCATTCAGGAGGCTGTTGTTGCTATAGTAACTACAACATATCTGTCATTAACACACTACCCCTTAATTAGACACTGTTTGTTGTCGAACACCATAGCGCTCCAAGTAGAACCACACACTTGACACTTTTCTCCTCTGTTGCAGCTCATTATTGGTAATTCTATATTCTTTTGTACTGTTGATCTAATTCTCACTGTAAAGCTCAAGTTCTCTGTTTGTTTGCATGTAAACTCTGCCAAAAGACTCCTTTTGTTGTCAGGTCCCCCTGAGAGTCTTTTCAGATGTGAACACAATAGCGACAACAAAAAGAGGCACGCAAGATTTAGTGTGGCACTGAACAGCCTAAATACTCTATGGTTTTTAAAATATTCTGTGTCCTGTAAATCGACAGTTATGGTTGTGTGGCTGTCTCTGTGAAGCAAATAAAACAAAGGTTTTGTAGGAACAACATTTTGTGATAACTGCATTTTATTAATTTACCAAAATCTTTTTTTTTTCAGACTCAGGCTATCAAATTGATCTATGCATACGGCACAACAGATCAGATTAATTACCATGCATCCCGCAGAGGAACCAAAGAAGTCAACCTGCTGAACTACATGCCCAGGGCAACCATAACAGGCCTCAACTATCTCAGTGCAAGGGTGAACAATGTAGGTGCAATTTTTTGGCAGGGGATTATGGGCAAAATGGTTGATTTCTCAGTTATCGTGAATCTGTACCAGAATAAGTTTTGCAGTGTAGAATTTTGTTTGAGAGATATTGAAATATCTTAAAACATTCTGACATACGAGGTAACCTGAGGTAATTCACTGTTTTGTTTTGTTTTGTATTGTTTTTTTTTTTTTTTTTTTTACCTTTTTTTACTTTTTTTTTTTCTTTTAGATATCTGTTCCAGAAAAGCATACTTACTACCACTGCAAGGTCATGAAGTTATCAACATTAAAAACAAAACATCATATAACTATGGTAAGTATTTCTTTTTATATTTTGATATGTCCCAATAAAATGTATTTCATTGTTACTGAAACTTGTGCTTGAGTATTAATCTAGGATATCAGCAAGATTAAAGACTATTGGTGCTCAAACACAGATTGCTAGCTACGGCAAAGATTTATGTTGCTACCAGCAGCACTGTTGTGGGTTTGTGATAGTAATTCATCTGAGACCTGTTTGATTTTGGAGTCAATAGATAATGGTAGCAGATCAGTGCATCAATGTACTCAAAGTCAGTATTTAGGCCCTGTATCGACTATGGTATCCTTAAAAAAACCACACTGCTTTGACTCAAAAGCGGTATTTTTAAAGCAACCATTTACATCCAAGCAATACTATTTTCCACTTTCAAGGAAACTAGTGATTTAGATGACAAAAAAAGTTGTTATATCAAGAGTAATTGATACCTTGTGTATGACATTTACAGAAACTCATCATATAAAACAAAACTTAGAGATACTTCATGAATTTTCTTTATTCCTAAACTCTCTGCATCTCCTTTGACTTTCTCTCAGGTTGAACCTCACATTGAACATCCCGACATTGTTCACCACATGCTGCTTTACGGCTGCCCCTCCTTTGTGACACAAGAGTATGACACGCAGTGCTACAAGGGTGACATCTCGGATGCCTGCTTTGAAGTAGTGGCTTCATGGGCAGTGGGAGGAGGGGTGAGAGTGTATCCTGCATCCATTTCTGAGTTCTTTGGGGTTTTTTGTCTGCTCTGTGTGCGCTAGTGTTTATTTTAGTTGGTTAATTTAATGTTTCTTCCTTGCAACCCCTCAGGTATATGTGCTTCCAGAGACTGTGGGTATACCTGTTGGTGGTGAGACGAATGAAAGACTATATAGACTGGAAATCCACTATAACAATCCAAATGGTGACAAAGGTAAATATTGCATATTCTTTTTATATTCCGGTTTATTATCATATTGTATAATATCACACTCTATTGTAACATATTATACTGTAACATTGTTTTAATCATATCACACTGTTTCATATTGTACTGTAAGGTGTTGTTTTGCATTGTATATTTAGCAAAGTACTGAATCCCACTGTACTGTATAGTATTGTATTGAATCTTTTGTAGCGTATTATATGGTATTGTTTGGTATTGCAATATATGGTATTGTAAGGTCTTGTATGTACGGGTGGGCAATAAAACAACAACGATAAACAGTAAATCAAAAATTGATTTCCCTCAATATCAATATAAAACATGGTCAATATGCTTTTTGATAGTCGGCATTCTGACATGTTTTGGTAGACCATACGACTAGCCAATGAAAAGGGGAGTTGCTCTGGGTCCACTTTGCACTGAGCCAATCATGTGTGCTGAATTAGAGCCAAGTAGCAAATAACTGTGTAGTAGCAGGCTGCAGCTACACCCAACCATAGCACTTAAACATGTGAAGCCGACAGCACTTTTGGTGAGAAAAACAGAAAATGAGTGCTGGGTGTGATGGGTGTGGAGGTATTTCGGGTTTTTGAAGTTGGACATGAAGCAGAGTAATATGCACTGCAAATTATTCTTGCAAAGTCAGGGTGTACCTCAAATCTTTTCCACCACCTGAAGCAGTGCCATGCAGCAGAGCACGCGCAATGCAAAAGTTTACAAACCCAGAGCGGCGCAAGGAGCCCATGGCGCCTGTGCAGCCGAATCGGCCGACCATTCAGTGTGCTTTCTGTAGCGCAACGCCTTACAACAAAACGTCATAGAAATACAAAGACTTCACAGATGCAGTACCTTATTGTATTGCAAAAGACATGCTGCCATTAAGCACTGTTAAATTTAAATTTTTAAATCGTGAAATATATTGATAACGTCTGACATGAAAAAAAATAAATTGTGATAAACTTTTTCCCATATCGCCCAGCCCTACTTGTATGGTATGGTATGTTATGGTATCTCATCATATCGTATATAATCTTGTATCATATAGTGTTGTACCATTTCATATTGTATCATATTGAATCTTGCCATTTCATATTACATTGAGTTGTACCATATTATATCATATCATATTATCATATGATATTTTGTAGTACGCTACCTATGTTTTGAAATTTTAATATCATAAACCACACGTCACATTGTGGACACATAGGACCTTTTTTTTACAGGGTTTGAAAAAAGAGCCACAGAAGAAGGACATAAATATTATCAGTTCACTTTATTTTGTTTTCTGTTTCCAAGGGAAGTAATCGATGGGAAGTCTTATTGTTTATATGACGCTTAGACAGTTGGTTGTCATGACTATGTGGACAATGCTTATTATTTGTTTAAAGTGAGAACAACAATCCAGTTAAGTATAGGATGCTGACTCCATAGCAGAGCATAGTTCACATCTGAAGCCTCCATTACAATTTTGGTGGAGAACAATAACATTGTTTAGCATAGCTCTAAATCAGACAAACAATTCTTCCACTGAATGTGTAATCTTTTCATCTTCTGCAGGACGAACAGACAGCTCAGGGTTGAAACTGTACTACACAGGTAAACTCCGACAGGAGGACGTTGGCACTCTGACCGCAGGTATTCTACATTTCGATCAAATGGAGTACAAAATCCCTCCAAAAGTTGATCAATTCCATACCTACGGCGTTTGTAACACCAGTATCTTCTCACAGGTAAGGTTTGGATCAGCACTGACTTCAATGTGTTATAATGGCTTTAAAAGCAACAGGTAATCTCAATATTATTCAAAACTGTGTTTTGATCATCTTTAATTCCACCCATAGACTCTGGGTCATTCTCCTGACCTTCATGTGTTTGGTGTGCTGCTGCACACTCACTTAGCTGGGAGAAAAATTCGAGTCGGACACTTCAGGTAAGAAGGAAACATTTAGGATTGACTTTCATCAAAGTCTAAACTGTTTTAGAATAGATCGATATCATTAACTATTTCAGGGGGAAAACATTCTGAAATTTTTGGTCTGTGTAGAAATGGAAAGCTGATAGGCTTCTTGGGCTTGGTGGAAAACTACAACTTTGAGTTTCAGGAAGTTATCCCTTTGGGAAGCGTAGCAACCATTAAGCAGGTGAGTTTCTATTACTTTCATACTCCTATGTTACATTTATTTGTCACAAGTAAGCTGTAAGTTGTCTTGGCTGTTGTGGTTAACTTGCTATACAATGCTGCATTATTTGTGCCCAATTCCAGGGTGATGAACTTGTCGTGGAGTGCACATATAGTACCACCACTCGCACCACAGCAACTAAGGTGGATAATGAATAATGATATGAACACTTAAAAGTAAAAACAATTCTACTTCTTGAAGGAGAAACCCTAATATCCACCACAACTCTTTCAGATGGGGTTAGGAACCACTGATGAGATGTGCTTGGCCTTCCTCCTCTACTACCCTGCAATCAAAATATCTTCATGCATCAGCCACCCAAATTCATATCATCCATTACTACAAACCATGAGCAGCCAGTAAGACCTAATGCATTTTTTCTGATGGGATCACTTCAAAGACAGAATCAAGCATGAGAGCAGTTTCCAGGTTATACACAACATGGTCTCTGTTTCCTGACAGAATTTTCGAGGGGACTGCAACTCCAAGCCGAGATGACATTGCTGAGTACGAGCGTTTGTTAAAGAAGGTACCACAAATTCAGGTGGTTTCAAGTTCTGAGGTAAGTTCCTATTCCAATTGTCTCATTCTGCCAATAAAAATATATTTGGATTTTCAGAAGTCTTTTTCCAGAACCCACAGATTGTCTCTCACTAAAGATAAGCCTTTGTGAGTCACGAACAACAAGCCTTCTTTCTCGTGATTGTGTGATGATCTCTACCACTGTGTCAAAAGAATTTTTTCTCTATTATTTCTTTTTCTTTTTCCAGAACAACCACACATTTTATGAGAATGGTATCATCAGGGAAATGGGAAACTCACCAACTGTCGCCTGTCAGACTAACCCTAACAACAACAACAACAACAACAGTGGCTCGAGCAGACTCGGCACTTCCTCTATCTTTATCCCAGCAGGAATCATACTGTTGTTCCTTTTGGTTGGAATACTGTAGATAGTCATCTGTGCGAAAGAGCCAAACAAGTGCGGTTTTGATAAAGAAGAACACTGTTGATATTTAGCTTCAAAAGAAAAAAAAGATCAATCATTTTTACAACCTATTCAAGGAATAACATATTTCTTTGTCAAATTAGGTGCCATGTTCTCCTGCATCTGCCCTGATATTCATTTATTATTGAGTTTGAGATCAAATGTATAACTTCATGTCTATTGCTACCTTATCTATTGAAAGAAAGGTTAATGACATTTAGTGATGATGATTATGATATTTACACAACTTGAGATATATGTAGGAGAGAGGGACTTTCAAAATTATGATTTTTTTCTTAATCTGTATACAATGTTTATGTGTGTATTTTCTTGCACATATGTACTTATTTGTGTCTCCTGTGTTGTTTACATACACTGCAAGCTTTTTTTTTTTTTTTTTTTAATTTTGACATGTATAGTTAAGTAAAGGTGCCAATCATTTGATAATCTCCTTAATAAATAAGATCCAAAATAAAATTAAACTTGTGTTGTGACCATCCTTTAAAGCAGTGTTTTTCAATCTTTTTTTGGGCTATGGTATATATTTTCATTAAAAAAAATCACGAGGCACACCAGCAACCAAAAATGTTACTAAATGACACTTGGTAGCCCCAAATAAGGTGACAATATAGTCTCTCAATTTATTCATACTAACCATGTGTGAAACCTTGGGCTGTAGGTTACAGGACAGACACTTGAGAATTGCAAATTATTTGCAGATAATAAGCTATTAAAAAAAGACCAATAGAGTGAAATTCGATAATTTCTCAGGGTGCACCTGACTATCTGTCATGGCACACTGGTTGAAAAAAAATGCTTGAAAGAGTGGGTGAAATTGAGTGGTGACACGTAGTACCACAGTTTGCCCTGTAGGGGGAGCGCTTACGTCTCCTCCTCCTCACTGTCACTGTGTTGCTGTCAGGGAATGAATGTGAACGGCTAGCCGGCTGGTAGCTTTGGCAATGTTGTCATTATCAGAATGATATCACAGCGGGACAGAGGAGAACTCGCTCGGTTTTATACTGTTACAGATCCGAAAAAGCACCAGAAAGGATATACTGTCTACAAAGTAACCGCAAGGGTAAGTGAAGGGGAGGATGGGTGCTGTGACAGCAAGGCTAATGCTAGGTGTTATTAGCTAGCTGCCTAGCTTGAGTTTAGCTCCTATGATGCAAATACATGTAACGTTACTTTCTGGTCATCACACAATGGTAACTGCGTCGTCAGACACATTAAATAATGATTTTTTTTTCAATCTGAATAAAGTACAGTTTTTATACTAGAGGTTGAATTGGATTAGCAGTGTTAGCAGTCAGATTGAATCCGTCAGAAACGCTGGATGAGGGTTAGATGGCTAACTAGCCTCCAGCCCTGTCAGTGTTATGTGAAGCTGTATAAGACAAGTACCTTTTTTTAACCAAGTAACTTTTTACTCTAAAGCTGATTCGTAATGGCATAGCTTGGGGTGACTGTCACTTATAATTGCCCCTAATTAAGCAATAAACGTAAGCTAAAAGAACCTGACTATCAAGTCAAACTAGCTGTCTTAGCTAGAATAGAAGTAAACCAACCAGACATATGGGAAATGAAATAGTTCATGGTAGAGCTGTTGTATCGCCCATGTGTTCATGATGTCATGGCTGGTTGGTAATTATCGAAGCACAGGCTGACCATTTGGCCAGACTAGCCGCATGACCCCTTATATCTTCCAGGGTCATGTGCTGAATTTACCAAAGATATTTAAAGTCAGGGAAAAAAAGTTCGACAAACTCCCTTTAAGTTTGTCAGTTTTCCACCTGTCACTGGCAATAATATAAAAAATATTAAATTATTCTGTCTTTTATTCCATCTTTTAAGCTTTGCCTGATTTTTTTAGCAAAGAGACTAAACACAACTCACTCACTCTCTTCCAGCAGCCGCTTGTTTGTAGTGAAATCTGGGGCCAGTCCATTACGGACTGCTGAGGGGTGATGTCGCTCAAGGAAGAACATTTATGATCATTTCTTCATGGAAATGCAATCAAACCGAGACGCTAAGGCAGAAGAACTACTGCGTCTGCAGTGCAAAATGATTAATATGGTGATTATTACTTCAAGGAAATGATAAAGAAATGATCATAAATGTTCTTCCTTGAGCTGCGTCACCCCTGCTGCGGTAATGGACTCGCCTGAGGTCTCGCTACAAACAAGCGGCTGCTGGAAGAGAGTGAGTGAGTTGTGTTTAGTCTCTTTGCTAAAGAAATCAGGCAAAGCTAAAAAGATGTTTGGTGGCTAGTACTATGGCTGGGACCCTATATGTGCTGTTGATGAAGTTAGGTTATTATTTGTGTCTATAGAGTGGCTTTTTGGTTGAGGTTTGTGTATGGCTCCTGAGACCGCTGTGTATTGCTATCGTGTGGTCGTTACTAAAGTTGGTATAACTAGAGAAGCAAGCGGTGGGCAACATTCATCTATCAAGGGGGTGTCTAACTTGGTGTTACGGTGTGTTTGACCCTAAATTAGTTTTTATGCCGGATTATCCCTTTAATGATTTCATATATTATAAAGGTGGTCTTGTTATGATCAGACAAATTTGAAAAATCCTAGGGTTAAGTTCTAATGCTTCAGCATCTCTGCCTGTCATCCTGCTTGTCACCATTGTTTGTGATATCTTGTTTCTCTCTCGGCTTTCGTCACTTGCTACATAATACGGTCATTGTCACACTCGGCTGGTTCCCCGCTCAGACTTGTGTCAGCCACACAAAAAAAGTCATGGCAGGAAAACCAGCATTGAAATCTTGGACTTTTTGATCAAACTTTCTTTTTCCTTTTCAATGCAGATAATCTCCAGGAAGAGCCCAGAGGATGTGCAAGAGGTGAGTTATTCAACTTCTGCCTTTATACTGAGACTTTGTGATCTTATGTCAGGAGTTGAATGGATTACTTTGAATTTAGGGAACACCATGAAGTAATAACACATTTTTTTGTGAATCATACCAGCAGAAATGTTAGTTGAAAGTGAAACTCTTTGTGATACTATTCACCTTGAAAAACCTTTTTTCCTTGTTAAGGATTATATAGAAGACGTAGAAAGGTTTTCCTTTCCTTTAATAGATCTTAACATGCTGTATAACACACATGCGTGTTTGTTACACACCCAGGAATTCAGTCCAGTGTGGAACCAGTGCAAATGCAGGAGGCGTGATGCCAATTACTGTCTGGTAGCACACATACCTCCATGATTAAGTAAAGGTCTTGTAAGGGAGCTCAGTCTAGTTTTCTCACAGTGGCTGACTGGTCAGGATTTTAACATGGCACACTGGAATCTGAACACTGAGGGCAGAACTGTTTTTTTATTATTCCACAGTAAGGAAATGCTTCATTCAGGTTTGTGAGTGATTATTTTTGACTCGTGTGCTCAGTCGAATTTTCCAAGATGGTGCTTGAGCACTCGTATGAATTGGTCGCTTCTATGTGTTGGCTTTGAAACAAGCTTGGATGCTTCATTTATAGCTCAATTAAAAGTTTTTACATTTTTCCTAACCAGACACTTGATTTAGACACTTGAAAAGTAAGTTGTCAAGCGATTATAATATTTTCTTTCAGACAAGTTCAGAGTCAAGCTGCAAAATTGTTTTGATCCATGCCATAATAGACCAACAAGTGCCTTTTTCTGTCAGTCTTTATTGTTTTCTTCTTCCTCTACTCCTTTAGATAACAGTATGGAAGCGATACAGTGATTTCCGTAAGCTTCATCAAAACCTCTGGCAGCTGCACAAGAATGTATGTAGCCAGTCAGAGCTGTTTCCACCCTTTGCAAGGGCCAAAGTTTTTGGTAAGAAAATAACCCTTTCACATTCACCTGTGTAAAAAGACTGTACCATGAAAGAGACAAAATGGCTCTCCTCATTTTTACACGCTTGCTCTAATCCTAAAGTGAGGATCAGTCTTCTTATTTTAAATTCTTGGTTCTCTGGTACCTTCACATCTATTTTTCAGAAAAATGGTCAGAGACTGGGATGTAAAGTATGGCAGTAAATGCTGATTCTGACCAAACGGAGACAACTCTGCCGCCTGGAGGCAGCTCGGTGATACTGCTTGTAATGAAGCTCTTCCACATAATTGATCATGTCCTTCATATATGCAACTGCAGGTCGCTTTGATGACTCGGTAATTGAGGAGAGAAGACAGTGCTCTGAAGATCTGCTCCAGTTCTCCGCTAATATCCCTGCTCTCTATAGCAGTCAGCACATCCAAGACTTTTTCAAGGTATGTTAAAATACACACATGTAAAAAAAATGACAAAGAAACTCCTCCATGGACTTTGACTGCAATCTTTCTAACAACTTTTCAAGGGAGGTGAGGTGCACGACGGCTCGGAGCTCATTGGACCAGCGGAGCCTTTTTCTGATTTCCTGGCAGATAGTTTATCAGACTGCAGCTCTGACGGTATGTTTACACAGAATAACAGACTGAACCAGCCTCTCTGTAAAGCTGCTGAACCACACTTGCTCATAAATACGTGGACATGTTTTTCAGTGCAAAGAGACATCAGTGGTGCAGATGATTTAACTATCACATCTGAGTATGGAGGTAAGATTTTTATTTTTACTTTATTTAACCAGGAAATATCCCATTGAGATTAAGAACCTCTTTTTCAAGGGAGTCCTAGCCAAGAGGCAGCAGACACAAAATACAGTTACCACATTTTCCAGACTATAAATCGATTTAGAGTTTAAGTCGCACCAGCCAAAAAATGCACAATGAAGTAGAAAAAACATATACCGGTATAATTTTTTGGGGGGGAATTTATTTTACAAAATCCAAGACCAAGAACAGACGTTTCATCGGAAAGGGAGGTCATAATGATAACAATAGAATAGAGAACAGGCTGAATATCTGTACAGTATGCTAACGTAGCACGTTGATGGTTATTCACCTGCATGAAGCATAAACAACGAACTCAATAGGTGTCTGGTATGTTAATGTAACATATAAACAGTTATTCAGATAAAAACTATAGGATATAAATAACATACCAAAACAAGTTTACCAAACTCTCGATCTCACTCCAAATCACTAAATCCATTGAATTCTTCATCCTCAGTGTCACCTCTGTACAACTAGAGTGCCCTCTAGCGGCTGTCAGTGTGAAAATAACAAACATGTGAAATCATATTTTTTAACATATATGTAAGTCGCACTTGAGTATAAGCCGCTAACCCAGCCAAACTAGGAAAAAAAAAACGTACAGTCCGGAAAATACAGTACATATTCACATAAATAAGACACAGAACTTAAACACATAATGAGAAACAAGAACATATTGTGGAATTGGCCTCAATAACTCTGAAGTTTGGATTTAAAAGTGCTCAAAGAAATTCAGTCAGTTAGTTTCCAGTCTTTCTGAAACATATCCCATGCATAAGGTGCAGAGTAAATAAATGCCCTTTTACCCATCTCCATACAAGCCTAAGGGACAGAAAGTAACAATTGATCTCGTGAACAAAGAGAATAAGATTCAGCATTTCTCAGAGTAATTGAGGTGCAATTGTATGAAGGTAGCAGATCCAATATTGCCTTATAAATGAAAGTGTACCAATGACTAGCCCTTCAAATGGCCAGAGCAGGACATCCTACTTGAGAGTATAATTCACAATGATGAGTAGACATCTTACAGTTATTAATGAACCTCAAAGAAGCATGATAAACAGTATCAATCATTATAAGACATTGAGCAGCAGCAATTATGTTCAAAGAATCTCCATAATTCAACATAGATAAATTACAGAGAGTTTCAAACCCAAGATTTGTTCAAAAACAGACAAACATTGGAACATCATCGCTGAGTTCAACCATCATGTATTCATTAAACAGAGACTGAGAATAGTTTGTCTCTGCCTTTTATGACTCTGGTCTCCTCTCCAGGCCCGTCCAGTGACAGTGACTTGACCTCCCTGGCTGTGGATTCAGACTCTCTGGCTGGGCTGGATGATGGCATGGCCTCAGGTCGCACCTCCCCAAACCAGCCACAGGGGGGAGCCACCAACATTAGCAGCAGCTGCAGCCCTCGCTTGCCCTCCCTGCACAGTCGCCGTACCCCATCTCCTGCCCCGGTCCCTGCCTCCTCAGCCCCTAACCCAGAGGTCAACTGGCAGGGCCGAACAGCACTTTTCTCAGGCAGCCTGAAGAAAGTCACTGGTGGCAACACGAAGGACGTCAAGTCAGACTACTTAGACAGAGCTAGTGAGCTTATCTGTTTAGCTGAACAGAAAGAGAAAGAGCAGGACTTCCAGGCAGCTTTCTCCTGCTATCGCAGCGGAGTGGACCTACTGCTGCAGGGAGTGCAAGGTCAGTGTGAGAGAAAGCTGTGTCACTTTTTTATGGCCAAAAAAAAGAAGTTGCTCAAATGCAGATGAAGCATGACTGATGTCTTTTTTTGCTGCATCCAAATCTGTTTTTAGTGGTTAAAAATGTGCAGCAGTGACAAAAAATAATATTTCTATTAAATTATATTAAAAAATAGAGGAAAAAAATGTTTACATTTGTAGGCATCAGGTTGTAATATAGCGAGCTATTTTAGAAAACAATCATAGTTACCATAAAAGCTTTGAACGTTTGGCTCTAAGTGTAGAAACTGGGTCTTAGATGACCTTAGCCTTCATTAGCGCTTCATAAGAAGAGGGGAAGCTGTCCACTCAGTTTTCACTCTTTTTAAAGCTTGTCACCAGAGCTACTTGCTTTTTGTCTGTAAACAAACGCTGTCATTTAACTCTGCAGAACTGCTTTTTTATTTTTTTGTTTAATAAGAAAACTCACCGAGCTTTTTCACCTCATATATCAGGTGAGCACAGTCCCAAGCGGCGAGAGGCTGTGAAGAAGAAGACTGCAGAGTATCTGATGCGTGCTGAACAGATATCTAGTCAACATCTGAGGAGCAACATGGGTCAAGGGTCAACACAGACGGTGGTGAGTGGGAGAGAAAATTCACTGGCCCTGCTATCTGTGTTATGATATGCTAATATATTAATATTCATGCATACACCAGGGTCCTCAAACCACTTGAGGGAGTGTATCAGAGTGCTTGTGAGTTTAATACAGATGAAAACGTTGGAGTAAGTCTGTATTAAAAAGATCTCATTGTACTTTGTGTTGCGCATTGGCAGTGCTGAACAATCAGTATTTGTACGATTGCAATTTAGAGATTAACTGAAGTTACTTTGACTGAAGAGTTTTCATTACAAACTTACAGAAACTTATCTTCCTAGTTTGCCACATCCCTCATTATACTAATGCATGTTTTTTCTTTGTTTAACCTGGCTGCTTTGTATTTCACAACTCTTTATGTGCATGACCATATTTTAAGGTCGCCTTTGTCCAGTATTAAAGCACTATGAATTTTTCTTCTGCCCAAGGCTTTGGGGGCGCAGTGCTGTGCGTCCACCAGCAGAGGAAACCAGCAGAGTCCATCTGAAGAACTCCGAGCCTTCAGAGTGCTTGGAGTCATAGATAAGGTCAGTTTACCATTTATTTCTAACAACTACCATTCCTTTTTATGCCCAGACGCACATTAACAGACGACAAGACGAATTAAATATCCTTTAGAAATAAATATTTTCTTGAATGTAAATTTCATGAAATAAGTGCAACACAATCAGAGTTAAAATCTATCAATCAGTAAATCAGTCTTTATTTATATAGCACCATTTCACAACAGATGTGATTTTAAGCTGCTCAACAGAATAAGCAGGTCCAGACTCTTTGTTTATGTTGTTACAAGTAGAGAAAGACTGATCCATAGAGCAGATTAACTTTGCATTTTGATGTAATTGGCGTCATATTGGTACCAGTCTTCTCAAGGCCGATATCATATCAGATCATCTAAAACACTCATTGTCTTTTCATTCTTATGAATTTTGTAGTAATGTTAAGATTAATACAGTTCTGCCTACATTTAATGAAACATTTACATAAGGTCACCAGCTTTGTTTGTCATTTGTTAGTATTTTTATATTGAATAAGAAAACATTACTGCGATATCAGCGCTATACATCAGCCATTGGACAATGTGCTCCTCTTTTATTGGTGTTGGTCATAGAAAAACTTCTTTATTTTATTTATTTAGACTTTATTTAACCAGGAATGTCCCATTAAGATTAAAAACCTCTTTTTCATGTCCTGGAAACTGATAGTGGTTAACCACTATTACAAAGACTCACCATCAAAATAAGATAAGGTCCAATCTCATGTTCTATCGTGAGCAGGACACTTTGTAGCATTGAGAAAGTTTCTCGGCAGGACAAATCCTCCTGTTAACAGATAGAAAACCTCCTGCATAACTAGACTCCTGTTGAAAACCTGTGCAACTGTGATGAGATTAGAAGGAGGAGAATATGAAGAGAACGATAGAGACAGACAACAACAACAATGACATTATTAACAAGAACAGTTGCATAGAGTCATGGTTACAGTCCCAATAATTTTAGTCAGAGTACTTATGCTATTCACAGGAAGCAAATTGATGATAACAGACTGATTTGGGAATTTACGGCAGTTAAAACCAACAGGTCATTATAATAAATGTTATTAATAATAGCATTTGCAATAATAATGATAATGGGATATGGATGGTATCATCAATTAAGGCAGTTGTAGTCAAGCTGATCTACAATGTATATAATAACAGCAATAATTACACTGAGACGGATATTAATAGTAGAAACAGTTGGAGTCTGGCAGGTCCACAGCAGCAGGCTGACATCAGCAACAATTCAGAGAAACTTAAGACAAGGGAGTTCAGGGACGCCCAGAAAGATTGGTGATTGATAACTGCAGTGGGACATAAAGATCGAAGTTAGGGACACACAGAAGTAGACAGTCCTAAATCTAAGTGTTCACAAAAAGGAAAGTTAAAAGTTTTCTCTTAAAATGAGAGAAGCTCCAAGACCTTGTTGAGAGATGATTGTTCGATGATTCCAAAGGTGGGAGATGATGGTATCATACAGTATGTTTCTACTTACCATTCTTCTCAAATATGAGGTTTGAGAATGTAGAGTTCCAGAGGGACGTGAGGGAACAATGAGCTCTTGAAGATAGGACGGTGCCTTATCATTTCGAGCTGTGTCAGTCAGAAGAAGAGATGTGACAAAGTGGTGCTACCTGTATAGTCAGCCATATTTTCCAGCATGCTTGTGCAGAAAAGCAGCCACTTCCACTACACAATGACTGGGGGGCAAATTTACAATGATTTAAGTTTGAATACTAAGGCTTAATGGTTGCGGTCATGACAGCGAGCATTGTCTCAAGAAAAGACTGTAAATTGGTTATATGCTTCCATAGACTGTATATAGAATGGACGCCGTCTGCCTCCTCACTATGTGAAGCCACCCTATTAACAGCACCCTCTGGTGACGGGCTGCAGTATAGGTCATAAATCCCACCTCCTCTAGCAATCCCTATGGAGCTGTGGACAAACTTTAGAAATTTATTACACAGAATATAAATTTTTCTCCCCCCTGGTTGTGATGTTGACATGTAGTTATTGTAACATTGGTTTATGCTCAAGCCCCCTTTTTTCTGTACAGCTCCATTTTTAGTTATTAGGGGGTTCATGTTTCCATGATTGACACTTGATACAGTCTATGGGCATGCGAAGGTTGCGTAGCTCACCCGGGGGTAACTCTGTTTAAGCCGAGCGTCATCACAGCGACTCTGGACGAATCTCCCGCCAAACACTACTGCGCAAGTTAATAAAATCCTGGAAATACTGAGAGCAATTTGGCTTCAAATTTGTATAATGACTGGAGGTGGAACCAAGTCGCCCATAGTATATACAGTCGATGGTTGCATCCCTCTGTGTTCTATGGTATGGTAAAGCGATCTGAGTATAAAGAACACTGCTTATTTTTAAGGGAAAAATAGTCAAAAAAGGTTCTATTTTATACTCTACATTTCAAAGAGAATAAAATTCTTCTGAAGGAAACTGGTTTTGTGGTCCTAAAAAAGAGGTGATCCTGCAGGTGACTTTCTTAAAAAAAAGAAACTAATCTTATCTAAATAAGCTGCTGAGGAGCTTTTTGAACAAGGATTAGTCATGTGTCTGAAGCTTTAAAATATGTAACTTAACTGTGTTTCTAGTTTGAATCCAGGGACCCATCTATCATACAGAAACTACACTTTACAGTGAAGTATAAATTATCAGCAGCATTGTCTTTATTTACATAAACTTATTTACATAAGACCAACATGACTTAAAATATGAAATGAATAAACTCAAACAAATTTCACAGATACTGCAACTCAACAACACGGTGAAGAACTGTTTACTCCAATTCAAACTCCTAATGCAATCAACTGAAGCTTACAAATCATACTAATGCTGGGATATAATGAACACCACTCAACATTTTGTCTCCAACAACTTGTGTCCAGCTAGCTTTCTATTTGATAACTGCCTCAGCACAGAGACGTTTCTCCTCCTTGTGTCCTTTCCTTCTTCAGCCATCACTTTCATGAAGCTATAAAACATAATAGATTTACTGGATGGTATGGTAAGAGCTGAGTGTGTGTATGTTTAGCGACAGTTATGACGACCACAAGGTCAGTTTAGGTTGCTGGTCCGCTCAACCAGCTGCCGGCGAAGCAACTTTACCACTCAGCCATGAAATGACTTGGCAAGCAGCTGAGAGAGCGGCACACACAACATTGAATCAATGATGCTCGTCCTCCACACACACACTAACGCACACACACAAAACCCCAAGGAAAATGTTGACACAACACTAACATGTGTTTTTTTCTACAGAGGTGTGCACAAAATCCACAACATATCCCAAACAAATCAGACACACAGCAACAACAAAAAAAAACTTCATTAAGTGGAAATGCGTTATCCAGAGATGACCCAGCTATCCTCTCCTCCTCCTCTTCCTTCGCTTCCTTCCTCCTTTCACTTTTAATGGGGACAGAGGGGACAGATGGAGAGAGCTCCTCACCCTGCTGCCCCCGTCTGCCCCTCCCCTCCACCTCCCCCTTTCCCTGATGTTTGTGTCTTAATTATATTAGCGCCCTGGCCGGCACCGCCACTCTGTTTACTCACAGCTCCATTCATATCCATTTAGCCTGCACCTGTTTGGTCCCCGCCAGGGTCACATGGAGTGAATGCACTCAGAAAACATACGCACACACCCACAGTGCACCACACACAAACGTAGGCTGGATAACGCACATATGCTCAAGCTCTCCCAGGAGACGGTAGGGAGGCAGAAGAGCAATGGAGATGTCAAAGAGAAGGAGGGAGGAAATAAAGATATCAGGAACAGCGAGAGAGGGAGAAAGTGAGAGAAGTGAAACAAGAGATACTTGGAGCTTAATTATGATGTGGATACAGGCAGACAGGATTTAGAGATGCCACTGTTTGCAGCTACAGATACTTGGTCTACTGTGAAGCATTTAAGATGGCACATTGTCAAGGAGTACAAGAGAGAAATGAGTGCATCTAAATTATGAATCACCAGTTTTTGCATTTTTTGTCCTATTAAGAGCTAAAGCTGGTCTTTTTTCTTGCTTTTTAATTATTATAACCTTTATTCAACCAGGTTAGTCTCATTGAGAATTAAGATCTTTTTTTTTTAATTGAATTGAGTTAAATTGAATGTTTCTTATTTTTAAATGAACTTTATCATCAAACATCATTGTAAACAAGTGAAAAGGGAACAAACAAACAAACAAACAAAAAAAGAACTAAGCAACAGACGTTCCAATACATGGCATAAAATATAGCTCAAAATGATATATGGACAAAAATTACCAAATCATATATATAAATATATATATTTATATGGCAAATTAAAGTGGCAGACAACTTAAGTGAATATAATTTGAATAAAATTCATTTCCAAGAGTTCTTTTGCAAGAGAAACCTGGCCAAGAATGACCGCACATGACAAATGTACGCAAAATCACATTAAACATTATCAATTATGATATAAATAATATTTGAAATTACAAGATTTGTCAAAATAAAACATTTGCATTTATCTTATAGGTTTTAAAATTTGTTAATTTAAGTCAAAAAAGTAAAAAATGTCCATCTTTACCCCTTCTACTGGCTAAAAATTGTAAAGAAACTCAGATTTTAATGCTCCTCAAAAGCAGAGCTTCAATTTTGAACTGTGTTTTTCTTAATAATTTACATTTTTGACTTTGCTGTTATTACTACCATTTGATTTACAAAAAAGAAAGAACTCAGGTAACATCTTTATCAGGCTATATGTTACTTTGTCATCTTTACTGTTTTTTTGTTTTTCTTGGCAGGTGCTTTTGTATTGCATCTCTTTTTTTTATTCCTATTCTTCAGACTAAATAATTCTAAAAGTTGGAGTTATCTTGCTGGCATTTGGTTTGGTCACCACAGCGGGCTTTGATATGCTAATGCCAGTTTGTCTCGTATAATTTGGGACCCTACATTTATCTTGCAGTGACCCTAATGTGTGCCCTGACCCGGTGGTTGAAAAACACTGCTCTGGAGGACATAACCACTACATCATGTTAGACTGTGTATGTCTGCTCACACCAATTAATGGCACTCTTCCATCACAGGTTCTCCTGGTCATGGACAAGAGAACGCAAGAGACGTTCATCCTGAAAGTAAGTGTAATATGTGTGTGTGTGTGTGTGTGTGTTCGTGTGTGTGTGTGTAACTGTAAGTGTGAAGTGTGCCAGGAGCCCCTGTGTGTGTGACCGGTGTAATTGATTCTAATGGGCCTGTCCCTGTCAGCTCCTCTGCTCTCAGGTGTGAGACGTGTGCCAGATGCCAACGCACAGCGCGGGCATAGATGACTACACACTTGTGCGCACATACTTCTACACACATGCACAGGCGGCCAATGTGAACTTTACGTGTAGGGCTGATAGATCTGTGTGGCTCTGTTAAAGTCACGCGCTGTATGTGGCCTGATGAATCCAGTGACTTTGGGTTGCCATGGCGCAAAGCTGGCAACTCTTTAATGGGAGGTTTCTCCTCTGCCTCACTCCCCTCATCATTTTTCCCTACACCTTAATCATTATACAAACGCTCGCCTTCTTCTTTGGGGGTGGATTTACCCTTTCTTCTCTTTTTCTTTGCTGGAATTACTCACCTCATTGCCTAATTTTTAATGCAGGGTTTGAGGAAGAGCAGCGACTGTGGGCGGATTAAGAGGACAATCATGCCTTACTCTGTGCCCAACATGGTGCAGCTGAGGAAGTTCATCGTCTCTGAAGATGCAGTGTTCCTCTTGCTGCAGTATGCCGAAGGTAAAATACTAATATCTCGCAATCATCTCTCCTTTTCCTTTTCTCTGCCCTTGTTCCAGACAGATGTTTGATAGAGATGGGTGTGTGTCACAGGTCGTTATTCTGGATACCAGGTGGCACCATGCTTCATTAGCTATGCCAACACCTGGGCCTCCTTACATCCCACTTACTCCAGGGTGGGTGTGTGCATGTGTGCGTGAAGCTCGTGTGTGTGTGGATGAGTGCGTTCAATGAAATGCAGCCATATTTTTCATGCCCTGTAACCTATTCAATCTGGTGCACTCCATAACCACCCTGCGCTAATATTAGTGGACAGTATTGAATATAATGGGGGCTGTTGGACATGATCTAATAAAGCTAATCAAATGTCAGGGAAAGCAAAGTTTTATCACAGTGACACCAGACTCACAACATATAGGGTTTCTCCTTATGTTTCTGCAATTTAGTGGTATATATATATACAGGCTACAGCTACTGATGGGTTGAATGAGGATAGGCAGGCAGACAGAGGCGAGGCAGTGACCTGGGTGACATTGGATAAAACAACATGTGGATGGTTCTACTTTCTAAGCCATCGAGCTGCCCCGCTATCATTATCATCACGGCAAACTCCCTATCTGTTCTCATCACACGCAACAGATGCTGGCTTCCAATTGCTCACACTGCAGCTGTGTGTGTGTGTGTGTGTGTGTGTATAAGACACAGAAAAGTCAAAATGCTAACATAACACTGAGGACCTCAAAACAAACCCCAACCCCATTAAACCAGATTAGGTTCAGTTAGGACTGTCTTTGTATGCCCTCGAGTCAGTCTCCTGAGTGAAAACTAGGGATGTAAACTTGTAGTACTCTCAATGATCTATCATTGGAAATTTTCACTGTTCACTACCCTTTACCTGTTCAAAATAACTTTTCCTTTGACAAAAACAAGTCTTTACAGAAACGTCGTGGACAAACGCCTTGCAAAACAGGTAGAGGTGTGAAGACTGTCCAATATGTTGAATATCGGCGTGTGCAGGGGGCTCAAAAATCGACCTGGAGTAATAGGCTAGTCACAAAGAGCCAGGCTCAAACTGCTTCATGTGGAGACAGAGCAACAAAAGAACGAAACAGAAATTACTCGAGGGTCCACATTGTGTCTGGCTGTCCATATTGATAAAAAAAACAAAAAACAAAAACAAAACTATTTTTTACTTTTTCTTTCTTTTTTCTTACTTTCTTTTCCTTCTCTTTCTTTCTTTCTTTCTTTCTTTCTTTTTTCTTCTTTCTTTCTTTTGCTTTCTTTTTCTTTCTTTCTTTCTTTCTTTCTTTCTTCCTTTTTCTTTCTTTCTTTTTCTTTCTTTCTTTCTTTCTTTCTTTCTTTCTTTCTTTCTTTCTTTCTTTCTTTCTTTCTTTCTTTCTTTCTTTCTTTCTTTCTTTCTTTCTTTCTTTCTTTCTTATACATATGTACACCAGGCAACTGTACATGTCAAATATAAAACTACACTAACATATGTATGTCAAAAACAAACACTTTGAGAAGGAACAGAATGAAGCAAAGAGCAACATTTCAACTAACCATCAAGTTAAAACATGAGTGTAATAATATATTTATCATTTGACTGAATAGCTGAACTGAAGATGATGTCAGAAAAGCTGGACAGGACTTCTGCAGGAACTTTCTCAGCCTGTTTTTTGTAACCTTTTGTTGAATTGAATGATTTCCATTGGCAATTCCATAGAAAAGAAAATAACTGTCTTCCTTTAGCCATCCTTCGTAGAGTTGTTCAGGTGACGTATCTTTCAGGATTAATGGGGCAGAAGTCACAACGTTTAGAGTTGTTGCTTTTAACACCACTTCTTGTGGTTTAAGTTTCGTTTTGGCAGAAGTTTAAAGATGTACTCACCAGCTCTGCTGCTATTGATTTCATATGATATGTGCAATCTGGTTACATCTGGCATCACTCCTGCTATGCATGGATTCAGAATCAAGTATTCAACACAGCTGGGTTATCAGCAAGAAAGCCAGATAATGATAGATATACAGCTGTAGAATAAATATGATCTATGAATACTGAGAGGGACATGTTTGGCCTCTCCAACATCCATGTGTTTGCTGCATCTCCGCATCTCTCCAACATATAGTGAATCATCACAGTAAGGTTACTCCCTGTTGCCCGCAAGATCCAACAATCTATAGTGAGAGCATGACTATGTACTCCACTCAATTGTTTTTAATACCTTAGTGTATTGTTCTATACAGGTAGAGATAAGCAGAAAAATGCTGCTAAATCTCCCAAAACATTTCTAGAAAAAGCAAACATTTTCTCACGCTCTCTTTATCTCTTTCTTTACCAACTGCTGTGTTAGACAGACCATCCATTTGTCTTTGGTTTTAATTCTCTGTGTTTTTTTTATCAACAGGTGGGAAGCTGTGGTCTCACATTGGGAAGTACCTTCGTAGTTCCAGCACAGACGAGAGCTTTGACATTCCTTTCATCCAGAAGAGTCACACAGCAGCTGTTCACTCTCCACAGCAAGCTGTACCAAAACTGGACACTGGTTCAGCCAGTTCTGGTTCTGGGCCGCTTGCATGTTGTGATTCTGTCTCAGAGCTGCAGAAAGACGACAATAACCTCATCACATCTCCTAAGAAAAGCGTTCTTCCCCCCAGACTTAAGGAACAAATCGGGGTCCAGTCAGACTCCGGAGCTACCTCCGAGGAGGAGTGCACCAACAGTTATCTGACACTCTGCAATGAGTACGAGCAAGACAAAGTAGAACCAGATGCACTAGAAGAGGAGGAGGAGAAGAGTGAGCAGGAAATGTTGTCATTGGAGGTCCCCAACGTGACGACCACCACATCCTCACGCAGCCGCTCACTGCTCAGCAATGACAGCCTCTCCTCTCCCATCAGCTCTCAGGAACTCGGCTTTTTCACAGAGTCGTCTGACAAGAGTGGCAACACAGCTGACAGTGAGCAATACAGAGGGGACGGCCAGGACAATAGTGACGTCTTCAGCCCTTTGCCGTCCCCTGCTGCACCTCTGTCTTTGGACCAGTCCAAGCACACACCGATGGAGTTCTTTCGTATTGACAGCAAAGACAGTGCAAGCGAGGTGACCTGTCTCGACATAGGAGAGCAGCGTCCCTCTCATAAGCAGGTTTCTGTCTTTTCTACATCTGACCTGGGCTCAGAGGTCACCGAGGATCTTCCAGAGCTGGCTCAGGAGGTCAGAGGCCACAGCTCGGAGCTTTGGGGATTGGACTATAGCGACAAGGGCTCTAATGAGTCAGTGCCAGTGATTTCGTTTAAAGAGGCTGTAGTCGAGGATGAAGGTCACCCTCCAGACCTTTTGGTAAACCTACCTGAATTAAGTGGGACTGTAGACTCTATGCAGGAGGAGTTAGAGTCTTCTGGAGTGTGTCTAGGCCTTGAGGCTACAGCATCTCCTCAGAAATTAATCCAGCCTGATGTCTTACAGCTTCATAGCCAGCCCGAGGAGGAGGAGGAAGAAGAGGAGGAGGAGGAGCAGCAGCAGCTGGAGCAGGAGCTTTCATCTTTCTGCACAGCTTCTGCAACCTGTGACACCAGCATTGCATCTTCTTCCCCTTTCAACTCGCTGTGGGATGACTGCAGTTTGGTGTTTGCACAAGAGGCCTCTGATACAATGGGGGTTGATCCTGCATGCCGTAGTACTGACCTCCCCCTTGATCTTCCAGATACAGACTCACACAATGAGAAACTAGAGGGCGCTAAAGACTTGGTAGAGCTCAGTGGCAAAAACGGGGGTGAGGCCAGTGCGGTGAAAGAGAGTTCACCAGGTCTTGGTGGTGATTCATCCAGAGTAATTAGTATTAAAGGTGGCAGCGAATTTGATAAAGATGTATCACGGCTGTTTGCAGAACTAGATGAGCTGTCGTTGGCTGCATCCCAAGCTCGTATCCCTGAGGACTTTGTACGATGCTGGGCTGCAGAAATGGTGACAGCTCTGGACTTTCTGCACCAAGAGGGAATCATCTGTAGAGACTTGAACCCCAACAACATCCTGCTAGACCATCAAGGTTAGAAATCAGTTTAAAACACTGGCTTTTTCATGACACTGTTTAGACCAGAACTCCTCTCTGAGTGATCAAAAGAGTGATCTTCAAAAGAGTAGCACTACAACAAGATTTCACAGCCAAGATGACTGCCCTTTGTGGGGTGACTTTTGAAGTTGTTGAGGAAAGATACCTGAAATTCAAAACATGATGAGTCAGCTCTTAAAATGACTTCACGCTAATGCTATTTCCAGTATATGTGATTAACCTGTGAGAGTGGCAGTTCTGTTATTATGGAAAGGTCAGAAAAACTGTAGAAGCAGCTGTCTTGAAATTGTTGATTGGTTTAAGTGTTAGGGGTTGCAATCACTAGTGGCCCCACGATTCGCTATTATCACAATACTTGGGCCACGACACAATATAATTGCGATACATGGGCCACAATATGATATTATCACGATACTTGGACCATGATACGGTATTATGACGATACTTGGGCCACAATAAGATATTATTGCGATACATGGCCACGATATAATATTATCACTATACTTATACCATGATATGATATTATCACTATACTTAGACCATGATATGATATTATCACGATACTTGGGCCATGATATAATATTATCACGATACTTGGGCCACGATATGATATTATCACGATACTTAGACCATGATATAATATTATCATGATGCTTGAGACACGATAAAATATTATCACTATACTTAGACCATAATATGACATTATCACGATACTTGGGCCACGATATAATGTTATCACGATACTTAGACCATGATATAATATTATCATGATGCTTGAGACACGATAAAATATTATCACTATACTTAGACCATAATATGACATTATCACGATACTTGGGCCACGATATAATATTATCACGATACTTAGACAAAAAATACGATATTATCACAATACTTGGGACACGATATGATATTATCACAATACTTAGACAATGATATGTTATTATCACGATACTTGGGACATAGTACGATATTATTGCTATTTTTAACATTCTGCAATACAGCGAATATTGCGATACAATATATTGCCATTTATAAAACTTTTCAACTGTTAAGCTGATTTAGCATATGTCTTTCCTTTATGTTTGTCCTAACAATGCTGCATTTTATTTTCATGTAGCACATTTTGCAAACCTCATATATGTTTGTTGTACTAACTTTCTCCTGCTCTATGATGTCACCTCTGACAACCTCACTGGACAAACAGATGATTTTATTTTTCCATTATCATAGATTTGACTTCATATTAGCAATTAATTTGAAACATCGATATTTGGTAACTGAGACAATACGATATATCACCAGACAAAAGACCCCAATACTATGCTGTATTGGTTTTTTCTCCCACCCCTACGGTGGATACAACACAAGCACATTTCCTATCACTTAACAGTGTTCATTCACTTGGTCACAAAAACCAAGGGATCCCCATTTGGGGTTACATTAAAATGCTCGTTTTCACAGCAAAATTAAACCTGTTTAGCCTAGCTTAAAAGACCGTTTTTGGTGCATAGCTCCTTTATTCCATTGATTCATCTATTAATAAAATTTTGACAGGGAGAGTAAGACAATTTACATAATAAGGGCCATAACTAAATCGTCAGACAGGTGGGCTTACCCAGCTCCTGTTGGCCAAGAGGCCAAAAGACCAACTCAGCGTGTTTCTAGGTTGATTTAAAGCTGGGTTTAGTCGGCATCGTCTCCAAAGAAACAAAAGGCCTCAAGTAAACTTAATAAGGAGCCAACCCTTCTGAAACTTCTGTGTCATTAAGTATCAGTTTTGTCTTTCCTACCATCTCCTGTAAGAAAGGAGTAAAAAGTTGTGCTTATTCTTTAAACATGATGGTCATACAGACTCTTTCATTTATCCATGATGTAATGTGTTTACTTAAATGAAGGCTCCTCCAGCAGTAAAAGTGTTGTTGTACCAGGAGGTCACAGATTCCCCCTCAACTTCTTCTTTTGTTGTCCTACAATCATCTCTCCCCTCGTCGTTATCAACAAGCGTCTAATTAGCTGAGTGGCTGTTTTCGTCTCCCTGGCCCAGGGGCCCATCAACGGCGTAGTGTGGTGCATCAGTCTGGCTAGCCCAGGCTAATGGCCACGGCTACCTAATGACACCATTAGTTCTAATGATAGCGTTAACGGGTAGCCGCTAAACAGGAGTAATCGGTGGGGCTGTGAGCTTGAAAAGCTTGCAGGGGGATGTGGAGAGGCAGAAAGGAACAGCGGAAGAAAGGTGAATAAACAGTTTGAGAAGTGGCGAGTCTGAGTGACACTTGACTGCCAGGGGTTGTCACAGGAGACGAATGAGATGATCACATTTGGATAAACATTTTCTGTCGCTTCTTGTCTCCTTAGGTCATGTTCAGCTCACTTACTTCTGCAGCTGGAGCGACATGGAGGATTCGTGTGACAAAGAGGCTATTGCCAATATGTACTGTGCACCAGGTGAGCTATACAAATACACGCTAATTCACTTGATGTCTGATTTCTAAGATGCACTAATGCTATGCTTATTAACAAGGAGCCTCAGTGTGTTTTTGTGTCAGTTAGGAGGTGTGTTTGGGGTTAATTCTATGCAGGCATGCAAGATAAGTAGGCCACTTTCCCATGGTTACAAAACCCTCATTCATAACCAGGCATGAAGAAAAAATCAAAGTATATGCAAACCACTTACGAGCACCAAAACTGTTTATTCATTTTGATTACGAGACACAGAAATCTATATTGTAAGGTCCTCTTTAGGGTGCATCCCTTTCCACTTTCTCTTTTATCGCAGTAAAATAAACAACACCCACAGGATCAAAACAGCAACCTGGTCACAGCGCCGTTTAGCTTTTCAATGAACTGTGCCACTAGCTGGTATTAAGGAGAATGAATAAGAAATATCTTGTTGCCCCAAACATGACACAGTCGTTGAAAGCTTGTATTGTAGTTCTCCGGTTGTCCTCTAGAGCGTGCTGTTGTGCAGGAGGTTGCTGGTGGTGCAGTAACCCCGTGTGTTGCCCCCAGCAGGCTTGTGGCAGCTCTGGCATGCTGTTTACAAGCTGCCGAAAACAAACTGCTGCTAGACTACAGCACCATGTCCCCATTTAGCACTTCTGTGTGTGGGCCTTGTGTTTGACATCTATAGGTGGGTACATTTTCCAGAGTGTAGTGTAGCTGCTGTAAGACACATAGGCTGCTGGGTATTCTATATATGCTAAATAACACATTTCTTAAATATGCAGGATTGAGAATTGCAAGATAACACCTGGGCGCACTTGGAGACACACACGATGACCCTCACACTCATTCACTCTCCCACACACCTATATTAAGCTTTTCACTCATATTCATCCTCTCTCCCAAGCCAGGAAGGTCACTTCAGATTTAAATCCTTCTTGTGCCTGGAACATACAGTATGCCACTGCTGTAATAAATCTGAAAGCAACAAATGCTCCATCTAATATCCAAAGTGTGCATTTTTTATTCCCTAAGTAGCAGCCAGTCTAAAAGCCTACTAATGGAAATAGAAGCACATGAAGCTATAGAGCAGGCGGCGAGAGGAGGTGACCTGAAGACACCAAGTGAAGCTTAGCACCGGGGTCTTAATGCAGAGTGTGGCTTAAAGTCTGAGTGTTGCTGAGACATGTGCGCCACTTATGTAAGGAAACAAACGTGCTTTTTGTCTGGTAGGTATTAGAAATTGTGGGTGGTGGATTTTAAGGCTGCAGTACATGAACAGTCTATTCTTTCAGAGTAAATCTGGCATTCTGATTTATTTTTGTGGGAGCTTGATTTTCTTAAAACTCTCTCTTTACCTTGTTATCACAGCATGAGAAATTAAAGTTGCAACTGTGACCAGCTATTACTCAAAGTAGGGGTGTCCTGATATGATATTGATAATGGATATCGGTCTGATATCAGCAAAAAAATGAATATCGGATTATATCAGCCTGCATCTAAAATCTCCGATATCAGCACTCAGATACAAGCAGTCCATTCCAGACTCCGCTGTCGCACCTCTATCTAGCAGCATCCAGATCCAGCATGCAGAGCCCACATAATCACAACAACAGCGTGTACCAAGGTACGAACAAAGTAACAAGGAGTAGGAGTGATGTCGGCCTTGTGGCAGTATTTTTGTTCATGGCCAAAAAAGATGTAGCAGCTGAGTGAAAAACTTGTCATGCACAATTTTGTGCCAATATCCAAATATCCGATCAATATCAGTATCGGCCAAACTACAGGGCTACATATCGGTATTGTATTGGAAGTATAAAAGTTGTATCAGGACACCCCTTATTCAAAGCATCAAATATTTCCCCTATTTTCAAAAGTGCCATTGTCAAATAATATTGTTTGTCCATTTTAGCGTTTGACTGCTGGCCTGACAACTACACCACGTGTTTTTGTACTAGAAACTTAAGCAGGTTTTATTTCTATACATGACAGAAACGGTAACTGGCTGTCATAAAATACATAAAAACACTCTATTTCCATAAAACATCTAATTAACCGTCTTCCAGTGATAAAACAATTTGACTTTTTTTAAGAGTCAGAAAAAAGAGGAATAATTGTTGGTCACATAACACGACTAGCTTTGAATACAAGTTTGACAAACACCCTACACAGTACAGTTTCTGACGTTAATCCCTTAAAAAGTTGCAGCAGAGGGTTCCCTGTAAAAAAGTGATTTAAGTGAAGAAGGGGAAAAAAAGTCTGCACCTTTTGTAAAAAGAAGAGGAACTGGATTGACCTCTGCCCAGTTGTTTAAGGTCTTGTCAGCGGAGGGACTGTCGAGCTTATGTAGACGTAGTACACATCAGCAACCAGCAGGGGGTGTGTTATGCTGTCGTTGTGCTTTAGGGCCACTCACACATCCACAGACAGTCCCACAATGCCACTGGCAACTTTGTCTCCTTTTTTCACCTTTCTCTGTTTTTGTCTTAAACTCTTTTATACGAATACAACGAAGCGTTTTCACCTATTCTACTTTTTTATTTTTATTTTTTTACTTTTTACAAACCTACAAATTTCCTAACCCCAGGTTGCTCAAGTATCTTCAGATGTACTTGTGTGCACACACACTGACTCAGAGGTTAGTGAGTGTGTGTCTCTCCTGCCCTTGTTATGTATTGCTGTTTATCCAGACAGGGTCAGCTCGTGCGATGGCTTCATTCCTGATGACAGATTTATGACTGTTTGCCAGAAAGCTAGCAGGGGGCCTGCTGTGACCGTATGTGCGTGCGTGTGTGTATATGTGTGTGTGTATGTGTGTAAGAAGGAGGGAAACATGTTTTTAAAAGGCACACATTCACACCCACAAAAAAACACAGGAGTGGACTTGGAAAATACAGCAGCTGCGTATTAATCTATTTATCCTGCACTTCTGCTTATTTACTTTTCATCCTTTCCATCATAAATAAACATCAGATGGCTCACGTTTACGCGTTTTTAATACGGCCAAAAACAAACCGGCTGATATCATGCAACATGTATCGAGCAGAAAGGGTCATTGTTTATTGTTCAGTTGAGAGGGAAGCAAGGACAAACCCGATTGTCTTCAATGTCTAAGAAAGAGGAAATTCAGTGTATTCTTCCTCTCTGGGGTAACCAGCCAGTTACTGAGAAGTCCATCATTATACTCACCGTTTTTTTTTTTTTTTTCACCCTTTGTTCTTTTACCTGCAGCCACAGGAAGATGTAATGGAAAATAATGAGTAGTTCCCCTTTCAAACACAGAATTGTCATCTTACCAGTTTGAGTAATTATACAAACAAAGACAAATCTGTGACTTTATTATAGTATTGAATCATTTTGTCTCCCCATAGGGCTGTTTCCAGACTGTTTTTGGATAAAAGAGTTTCTTGGTTATTTCAACAGAGCCTTTCCTGCACATGAGACACACTCACACAGTCTAAGAAACATCACACATACAGTAGGTCCCTCCCGACTTCCTACCTGCACCTACGCCACTTCCTCTTTTAACAATGACTTTCGGTTAAGTTTTTAGGGAAGTTTGTCTAAGAGGAGAAGAGAGAAAGTTCCTTATGGCCCCCAGGAGAGAGGGGATGGAGCGTGATTAAGATACAGAGCTGGAGGGAATAGCATTGTTGAGGGGAAAAGGAAGAAGAAGAGGCCACGAGGTGAACACCGTGTGTGTTGTTATAGCAGCGTATCTGTTCTCCTCAGTTTCCTCTTGTTTTCTTGAAACTCTCGTTATGGGTTTCAAGTTCGCTTTTCAAGAAGAAAAATCTGACGGAGGTGTGGCTGGATTTGAAAGTTTACCCATCAGACAATGTAACAGGGAGGTTTGAACGACCCATGGCCTCTGGACGCAGTTAATTCTCCCTTCTCGTCCTCTTCCTCTCTGTCTCCTCTTCTCCCTGCCTCGCTCTGACAGAGCGGTAAGTGTAGCCAGCTCCACTGTACTCTCCCTGCAGCTCCTTAGACATTAATCCATTGTGATGACATCGACCTTGCTCTGAGACGTTTGCGATTGTGTGTGTGTGTGTGTGTGTGTGTGTCCAGTATCTCCCCTCCAGCTCATAACAACGCAGGTATCACTAGTCTGTTCAATGACGATCTTCTCTCCTTGGCTGTCAAAACAGTTGTCCTGGGGAGCCCTGAAGACTGGTTGCTCAGTTGGCTGTGCCTGTTAGTGTGTGTGTCTGCATATGTGTGTGTGTTGTTGTGTGTTTGGAAGTCGTATCATAGCCCTCACTAACCTCTGCTGCAAGAGAGCCGCACAAGGCCCCTGGAGTTCCCCGCAGCCTCCAGAAGACGAGGGGGTCTTTGTCTCTTTCGCTCCCCCAGCTGAGGAGCCTGGTCTCTGGGCGCACACAGCCGTGACCCTAGGGTCCCGGCCCCTCTGGAGAGAGCAGAGCAGAGGGAAGCTGAGCGGCACAAGAGGCCATCTGGTACCCAGTGGAGCTAGTAGCATACACACACACACACACACACACACACTTACACACTCACTCTTTTTCTTTCTCACATACATTCACTTTTGACTTGTGTAGATAAGTATCATTCTTAGGTTCCTTATGCTTTTTGATGTTGCAGATCAGATTAAGGACTGAGGCTGAAGTGTTTAGATTTAACTTTCACTTTTTGTCCACAGATTTAGATTTGACTGAGTTGTGTACGTTTAAGAACATTTCAGTAAAAAGTTCATCTAATAAAATGCACCAAATATTGTCCATAATTAATAAAAACATGTCTTTGTTTCTGGGTACCAAGACATACAACAGAATGTTGTATTGCCACCAGGGTTTGTTGTACTATTGAATTGATTTTTTAACTAATGAGGAGTTCAATTTTAAGGTAAGATTTGCTGCTTTTCTTTCTGAGAGTTGTAAGATTTGCAGCTCTGTTTGAGATGAGTCAACTTGGACCAAAAAAAACTCTGAAATTTCACCTTTTGAACAAAAAATAAAAACATATGTTGTCAGCCCACTCCTGAGCTTGATGAACAGATTTGACGATAAAAGAACCAGCGAACCGATCAATGATAATGATAAACATAAGCTTGAGCCCTGCTCTGCGCTGTAGTTAATTTTTAGGGCTAAAGTTGGTGTCGTTGGTAAAGGAAAATCTGAACACAATGTTCTCCTTTCTTCCTGCTTTCTTTTTCTTAGTGCGTGTGTGTGTGTGTGTGTGTGTGTGTGTGTGTGTGTCGTGTGCGTGTGTGTGTCTGTTTGTGTGTGTGTGTGTGTGTTTGAGGTCAGGTCATGCAGATGGTGTGAAGTTGCAGCAGACGGTTTCCTCAATTTAACTGCTTTTTTATTATGCAAATCACCCTTTTATGAGACACACACTTGTTTGTGTGTGTGTGTGTGCGCGTGCTGTGTGTGTGACTGTGTCTACATTTTGTGCTCATTTTGAATCAATTGTGTCAATTCAATGAAACATTAAGTTATCCAAGATGTCATGATGAAACAGTGTTGAATGTCTGGTCTTTAGAAGCAAGATAACCACATGATGTAATCTTGTTAAGGAGTGTTCAGGATCAGTAAATGAGTGGATTGTAAAACTTTGATCATTTTACACTTTTTTTCAGGGCTGATTATTGATTGATTGGTCGTCTTGGTCTCTATTTGTTAAGCTTTTTAATCTTCCGTTTGATTAACCGCCTTTCATATTTTTCTGCTCTTGTTCCAGAGGTGGGAGGGATCAGTGAGGAGACAGTAGCGTGTGATTGGTGGAGTTTAGGCGCCATCCTGTTCGAGCTCCTAACAGGCATGGTGAGTGAAACACTCCAAAAAATGTTATCTTTGTTGGGAAGGTGTTGTGGGATGTCTGTAGGTGTCTTGGCTTTCAACTCTCTCACAGTCTTTATGGCGGTGCCAGGGCTGTGTGTGATTCTGGGCGCGTGTCTGCCTGCGTCTGAGTAGGTCGAGTTTGTTGATTTTTTTCCGTGTGTATATAGGTGTGTGAGGTAAGTCTTGGCTGCTGTCTCATTCTCTGGTTCTCGGGGAGTGCCAGGGGTGTCGGTGTGACTTTCTCCCCCAGCCTGAGCTCCATCTGCTGGGCCAGGGGGTCAGCTCTCACCGGGCCTCTCTGCTGGCTCCTGGAGCAGCACTGGGCTTTGAGTGTGCCGCTCCGAGGTCAGCGTGGAAGGTGAGGAGCAGGGCAGCTCTCAAGGCGCTGGAACCCAGGTTTGGGGACCATCTTTTAAGACGGCTTTTTTTAAGTTTGGAAGACAACCGATCCAAATTCAGCCGCCATACATAACCACATGAACGCATGCTAATGATAACTTACAGCTCACTTGAAGGACAAACACACATTAGCACACGTAGATAGACGCCCAGTGCAGGTGCAGAGTGTCCCTTCAATTTTTTATCATCTATTAAATTTGAATATATTCTAACTGATTGCCAGTGGGCATATTTTCATATCAGCGCCTGCCATCGATGGCCTAAAACATGAGTTGGGGGTGTTAGGTAAGTGGTATTATATTGAACAATACACACCGCCTTACCTGTGAAAAAAAGTCACTCACACAGATGTCTCGTTTGATGATTATGTCTGGGTACAGCCCTGGCAAGGATACACACACGCAGGCACACACAGCGTCTCTTGATCCTTGCAGGATAAGATCTTGCCTGGAGCAGTCTTGACTGCTGCTAGGAACACTGCCAGAACTCCTGCCGCACGTACAGAAGAGAGAGAGAGAGAGAGAGAGGCAACCGATCTAACTGATGGAAAAAATGACACACACACGCACAGGATCCCCTAAAACAGTTTACAGCTGTCTCTCTGCGCACACTTCTGCTCCAGCATTTTCAATTTATAGGTGTAAATGCACTGGAAGATGTGTTGCCGCAAGAAACGGTAATTAGTGTAATTTTTGTCAGTTATTTGAACAACAGGATGACTTTCAGTATTTGGAAAAGCATCTGCAGGTGTGAATATTAAAGGGATATTCCGGCGAATACTTAAGTTATGGTCAAACACACCGTAACACCGAGTTAGACACGTCCTCGAGAGATGAATGTTGCCGACCACTTGCTTCTCTAGTTATACCAACTTTAGTAACGACCGCACGATAGCAATACACAGCGGTCTACGTCTCCACACGCCAACCTCAACCAAAAAGCCACTCTATAGCCACAAATAATGCTCAGAACAGCAGCTAACTTCATCAACAGTACATATAGGGTCCCAGCCATAGTACTAGCCACCAAACATCTTTTTAACTTTGCTTGGTTTCTTTCACAAAGAGACCCAACACAACTTACCTACTCTCCTCCAGCAGCCGTTTGTTTGTGTGGGAGCCCCGACGAGTTGATCACTGATTGCAGCGGAGTTTCACAGCTCAAGGAAGAACATTTATGATCATCGCTTCATGGAAATGCAATCAGACCGAGATGTTAAGACAGAAGAACTACTGCGTCTGCAGTGCACAATGATTAATATAGTGATTATTACTTCATGGAAATGATCCTCTGGTCACATTTTGCTGACTTTTTTACACTCCCAGTATCACAAATAATGTAAAAACATGTCATTCTTTCTGTTCCAAGACAGAATAAATTTCAGTTCATTCAGGACCTTGTTGTGGTCGATGTGATCAGATCAGTGTTGTTTCAGGTGCTCAGGCGCTTTGGTCTCCTCCCTATTTGTCCAGTCACAGTGCTCCCACTGTGACCTTATAGGCTCCATGGGTGTCAGTGTTTCGGTCCCTTTGGTTCCCTCGTTGTATGTTTTGATTGATAGTTATCTGTTCTTTCCACCCCTCCTTCCTCTGTGCACAGTCTCTGCTGCGGTGCCATCCAGCAGGAATTGGTCGTCACACTTCTCTCAACATCCCTGAGTCTGTTTCAGAGGAGGGCAGGTCACTGCTGGAGCAGGTGAGAGCCACTTGGGTGCCACTGATACCTCATTATTTTGATATTTCAGTCGTCATTTTACACATAGAATTTGACTTATTGGCCTTTTCAAGTGAATTTTTTTTTCTTTTAAAACATCCCTATTTATAATCTATTCTAAACTAAATTAAAAGTAAATTATAAGTTATGAACATGTTGTCAAAGGGGGTTTTAATTTAAGGGTACTTCAATTCTTGATTAGTTCAGTAGTACAAGCAGCATAAGCTTATTCCTCATACAGAGACAACAGTCATCACTGCAGAAGCCCTCGGTTTAGTTCCTTTTTTGGCTTGTTGTTGGATGACTTTCCTTCATGGAGTTGATTGACGTCTTTTCACTTTGTAATTAATCTTTCACATATCAGTGAACTTGCAGACACTTCGGCATCACTTTTCTGAATGTGCTCGGTGCTTTATTTGAACTGTCTGATTGTTGTTTTTCCATATTGTTGTTTTATCATTATCCTGGTTTCCTCCTTAATTAAAGCATGTGTTGGCCTGTATTTTTGTCCTTTTGTGCAGTTGCTCCAGTTTAACCCAATAGAGAGACTGGGGGCAGGTGTTGGAGGAGTGGATGACATCAAAGCCCACCCTTTTTTTGCCAAAATTGACTGGCCCAAATAGACACTATGCATTATGGGACTGCCGAAATCAGAGTTGTGTTCTCAGGCACTGGGTGCCCTGGAGGAACTCCGGTTGGAATGGACAACTATAAAGATTCAACTTCGAACTGATGCATTTCTGCCCACATATCCACTCTTTGTGTCGCCACACAGTCACTGCATACTTTAACTTTTTTTTACCAAATTTGCCAAGAAGCAGTATTATCTCTCTGGAAAATGCCACTTCTTTTTATTTCCACACAGGTTTACTATGTAAACTGTTTCTTTTTTTTGAGCAGGGAACACATAACAACATGTGGTGCAATAATTAACCTTGTTTGTACTGTTATTGAGGGATGATCTACGACAGCATTGTTGCTTTAACACTCCTTAGACATTTGCTGTGAGCCAAAATGACACAACTGAGAGTGAAGGGTGGCATTTGGTGGGACATTATTATTATTTTATTTGCACTCATTAACTATTGCATGCCAAACATTAAACTGACACCGCTTTCATAGATCTCTGTGCAGTACTGTGTTAGATGCCACCTAAAACACTTAAGACATTCCTCACAAGGCCCACTGAGGTCAGCTGAGCTTTTTATTTATGAGCAGTTATGTTGTGATAGATAAACAGAGGATTTTTCACACACCATAACATTTCCAGAGTTGGGGTTCTTTTTGCTTACTGGCCCAAATTTAGTAATATAGATGGATACTATGCAAGGGGGGTGAGCTGGAGTATGATTTTTTTTTCGAGTGATGGTTTAAATTATATCAGGATTTGATTTATTGCTTATTTAAATGTTCATATCCGTAAAGAGGGCCGGTTTAACATAAACATAAATATTCAAGCGAGTAAAGAAGGAGAAGACACATTTAAAGCCAGCCCTTTTACCAAATCAAGTTGTTTTTATGAATAACAGAGCACTGAATTTTCTGCATGGTAAAAAAAAAAGATTTCTGTAAAATACTCCGAACTTTGTCATAAATCTATTAAAGAATAAATAACGTGATTATATGTGTGTATTGTAAATACAACTTTTAAAGGATGTTGTGCTTAAAGAAAGGTCTCCCCAGGTCTCCACACCTTGACTGCGTCTAACCCGTCAGTGACTCACCACATCATTGGTCAAGTTTGTGGAGTTTTTTTCTGAATAGTTTTATTAACACACCTGCTAACATGCCATGAAGATCATGTTGCTGATTTTATAATGTCTTTAATATATAGTAAACATTTCAGTGATTACATTAAATGCCATATATCACTATTTGTATAATGACACGAGACTTACTTGAGCTACTATCAAACACACATTAATACATTTCTCTAACATCACATGAATAATCACTCCTCTGTAAATGCTGCACTCTGTTATACTTCACATTAAAGTTAACTGACAGATTCTGTAAATGATGAGGTTCGTATTCCATCTACTAAACCCTTTTTATCAGACATTGACATCACAGTGAGATCAGGGTTTTTCTTTTTTGTTGTTTTTTTATGCGACACTCACTCTGGTCTGTGCTCCATCATGTCTGTACTGGTCTGTCAGTCACTCTGGATAACAATAAACATACCTGGATGAGAACATGTAGTTATGTGTGTTTACTGTATGTGAGGAGTTGGAAGTGTCTTTTTTTTTCTGAGGCCATAGCCCCTCTTTATCAGCAGGACTGATGATACTCCTAGAAAGCCCCTGTCACCCCTGATGAGTGTCTCACTGACAGTAATGCAAGTCAGCACAGAGGCACACTGTTTCATACACACTCACACACACACACACACACAACAGGATAAATCCACAGATTTTATTGATACACGTGAAGTGCACTTTGTACCATCATGAAATTATGAGAGTATTAGGGCAACATTAAGAAAAAAAAATTAGATTAAAGTTCTTAATTTACGAGAATAAAGTAATTACTAATGAGATTAAATCGTAATAAAGTAATTAGTTATGAAAATAAAGTCGTAATAAAATCATTATGATATTTTTGATATTGTGGTGCTGATGCGCCTAAAGTATTAAAGATAAAGTATCTCCTTATTTAAGAAACTTATATTAAAGTACATTTCACGGAATGCCCAATGGCTCTCATTTCAACAACTGTTATCTTAAACAACAGATCAGAATATAAGGACTATAAGTCTTGTAAAAAATCACTTTATTACGACTTTATTCTCATAAATAATTACTTTAACATGACTTTATTCTCATAGCTAATTACTTTATTACAACCTTTTTAATCTCGAAATTTCGACTTTATTCATGCAATTTAAAAAAAAATAATTTCATTTCGTCTTTTCTAAATTCTAACTTTATTCTCGAAATGGAAATTAAAAAAAATCTCCCTCCTGTAATATTTTTTTTCTCTTCTTGTGGCCACAATCCTCTGAAGTATGAAATAGCAGTGTCAAAGGTGTCTTGAGTAAACCTGTTTAAATGGTGCAGGAGGTCATGTCTGGGCTCACTCAAGGTAAAGTTTCAAGATGATTATCTTAATAGAAAAGAAAAAAAATGAATAATTTAAATCAAACTTTCATTAATGGAAAATACATTAAAAAAATTTCAGACTTTATCCTGAATAAAAAAAATAAGAATCAAATTTTGATGTTGATTTGAGCCAAAGGTTAGTAAAGAATACTGGAAGCACCACCAACCAGTGAAACTCTGAGTCTATTTTTTTAGCTGCATTAATGAAATCCTTTTTTAAACTATTAATATTGATAAATACGTTTATCAATTGATAAGCGTGTCAAAGGTGTCTTGAGTAAACCTGTTTAAATGGTGCAGGAGGTCATGTCTGGGCTCACTAAGGAAAAGTTTCAAGATGATTATCCTCATAGAAAAGAAAAAAGAATCATTTCAATCAAACTTTCGAAAATGGAAAATACATAAAAAGCCTTAAGACTTTATCCTGAATGGTCAAAAAAAAAAAAAAAAAAAAAAAAAAAGATGTTGATTTGAGCCAAAAGTTAGCTAACAAGAATACTGGATGCACCACCAACCAGCAAAACTCTGAGTCTATCTTTTTTTAGCTGCATGAAAAAATCCTTTTTCAAACCATTTACATCTGATAGTTACAGAGCTCAGGAGGTGACATGAACTTTTTATTATTATTATTCGCACGTGCGATTTAGTATCTTGCACGTGTGATTTAGTATCTTGTACCTGCGTTTTAGCTGAATCTTGCGCATGCGTTTTTGTAAATAATCCCCTGCGCGCTTCATTTGTGAGAGGGGAAGGACAGTGTCATGGACAATGAGCATATTATCAACATTTTATTTCATTTAGGTATGGCTCACAAAGAGATAGTTAATAGCTTAGCCACATTTGGTATTGTTTTGAGTAGGAGACACCTCATCAGGATCCTTAAAGCACAGCGAATTTGCAGTCGGAGATATTCGGAATTGCAGGAAATGATATTGTTTATTACTAAATCCCATGTGTGCTATACTATGTAAGAATTAAAAAAAAAAAAAAGTTAATGTCACCTCCCTGGCTCCATAGATAATTATTAAATGTCAGTTCTTTGTATCTTTAGTTTGTAGATAAATAATGAGGGGAATTATAAAGTGAGGTGGCTACGAAACAATGAGGCAGACAAGACTTCATCGCCAATCACCATGAATTATCCTTTGCATATCAACTCATTCTCACAAATTTAAAGAGCATTTACATTTGTCAAGTCTTAGTCTGAACTAGAGTGAACTGAGGATAAGCATTCTGCTGCTATGGCTCTATTACCTGAAATGACACATGCTCATTTACATACACACACACACAGGTCCGGGGAGTTGTCAGCAGTGTCAGCGTGTTTTCCCTTGTGTCAGCCGCAGTGCCACAGGGTCTCAAGTCTGGGCTGATTAGTAAGACCTGTCTCTCATTACACACACACTCAGGGCAAGAGGTGCACTTCTGCTCAGGGAAGAAACCTGTCAATCTCACTCAGTGTACATGTGAGATGTGCCTTCAGCGTACTCATATTAGACGAACAAACCCTCAGAGCAGACTTTATGATACCTCTCATGAAGATGTTCCTTCACTGATGGCTCAAATACCTCTGATATGGACAGAAATAGAGATATCAGGAAGGTGTCAATTACCTCGTGTCATCTTACAGTATGCCAAAAGATTAATGAGCATATGTCTGAAAGTACACCCCTTTGACGCTCGCTCTACTTGGTGACTGGAACGCCGCATCTAAATGATTAACAAATAATTCTTCACCTGTATCCGTGAAGGATCTTAACACATGGGCTTGAGTATTTTTAGATTGTTGCTCTGGTACTTTGATCAAAGTAAGGACTCTGAAAACTTCCACTACTTTTTTCCATGTGGCTACAAAGGACCAAGGTACATGTGTTTTATTTGTGTGTCTTTGTGTGTGTACAAAGCCAAAGGGAAGGATCCGTCTGGTCAGAGGCAAGATTGAGAGGACATACCAAGGACTCCCATGATGCAATATGAGTCTCTGGTTTTAAACCCTGAAAGCATTACCCGGGCCTGCAGGCTGAATTGACCCCTGAACCCCTTCTGCAACTTCCTGGACCTCCCTCTCTCTTTCTCTGCAGTCTTTTCCCACCTCTCTCTCTCTGTTTCTCTCTCCCTCTCTCTTTCTCTCATGCCCGTTGTTTCCACATTGAGGCTGCAGCGAGCGGGCAGCAGCCAAATGGCCTGCCCTCTGCCTCATATTGCTGTTGGTCAGGTTTTGTTTTTGTCTTTGACGCTTTGACTTTCGTTCACAAAGCCCAGGAGTACTCCTGTAGCCCAGGGACAGACACACACACTCATTCACGCTCACACTCTCACACACACTCACACTTGCGCCAAGCTGAAGAGTTCCGCTCTGAGACCCCGGGCATCTTCTCCAGCTTCTGTCAGAGCCATGTTGTCATTACGGAGAGACACTATGCCTCTTCATTATCCTCTATACACACAAACACACAAACACACACACATCCTTATCACTTGAACCACACCTACCCACCCACACACACTTTTTATGTATAACAGGGTATTGTGAGGTACAGGTGAGTCGTATTTTAAAAACAAGGGCAGGTAAAAGAAATTTCAATCAATCAATCAATCAATCAGTCTTTATTTATATAGCACTTTTCATACCAAATGATGTAGAACAAAGTGCTTTACACAACAGAGAAATAAAAAATAAAAAAAAGAATACCCGAATCTTCCCCAACCCAATTCCTCTTTCCCACCCCGCGATCTAAGCACAACAGAAACATGTTTTAAAATGCATATACTTAAAAAGGACTAGATATCATAAAAACATGAATGTGCACACTGAGGAAATGCCATTTTCCTTAACTCAAGATAAGGAAACACTAGAGGTTAGGTTAAAATCTAAAAACAAGGTGCAACAAAAAATGAAATTTAATAATTAAATAAAAACAAGAGTAAAAGATAATAAAATAGGAGCACCAAAATAGCTCAGTAAAAGATGATCCTGTGATTAAAACTAGAATGAATAAATGCTAAAACAAAGTTAATGATGTAAAATTTAGTTAAAAGCAATACCAAAAAGGTCAGTTTTGAGTTTGCTTTTAAAATCATCAAGATTAGGTGCAGTCCTCAGGTCTTCGGGGAAGCTGTTCCATAGATGGGGGGACAATAAAAAGATGCCTTACTGTATGTCTTGGTTTTAACTTTAGCTAATGTTAACAAAGAACTGCCTGAAGACTTGAGGGCTCTACCTGGCTCATAAGGTAAAAGAAGATCAGATAGATAAGATGGGCAAAAGCCATTAAGAGCTTTAAAAACCAATAAAGCAATCTGAACGGATAGTTTCCTTTTTCCACTTCAGGTGATCTTAGAATCCAGAGTGGCTGACCTTTCTTGTTCTGCATCTCTAAATCTTAGAGAGGCACTGTTTCTATATTTTCATGGGTTCTGAAAAATGCACTCCCTTTACTCTTTTTCCATGGCATGTAATTTTTTTATCTTTGAAAATATATCAACAGTATAACAGTCGTTTCTTCAAAAAAGGCCAAACACTCTAAAGTATTTGTGGCAGCAGTTACTTAATAAAAAAAATCATACAAACTTCATTGGCTTTAAAGTACAACGCAGAGCATATATGAGCCAAAGTGCCCTGCACCAGATAAAAATAAAGCTCTAATTAAATCTTCTCTTGGTCTGCCTTTAATAAACTACTGTAATACTACTTGTCACTGCTGCCTCTGGCTGTCTCACGCCTTAATCTGATCACGTTGGACAAAGCAGCTCTGTCTCTTACCTCTACTCCTAAAAAAAGGCAGAACAAAACAAAGCAGTGCTGGGCTGATGAGGTAAATGCGAATGATATTTCATGCGTTTTCAGAAGAATCAGTTTCAGTGAATATCAGCGTCGGTTAATGCAAAATAAACTGCAAATCAGCCTGGAGGGTTTAATGAACATACAAACAGGTCATTGACCAACAGTGTGCTGGTGCACCTTTATACAACTTCTTACAGTGAAGTAAAACAGCACAAGTCCCTGAGAGCTCAGTGGAAACATAGACCTGAGAGGTCAGCTTAAAAGAGGTCTTGTTTTCCAATTTATTCTCTGTAACTCGGGTCAGGAAATAATTACCTACATAATTTTAATTTCATTGAAAAATACTAGAATATGGAAGGATTGTATCAATGTTTTGTTTTTGTTTTTTTTTAATTTACGAGTCATCTCGTTAAGCCACCGAGAGAACAGCACCCTCTGGTGATGGGCTGCAGTATAGGTCATAAATCCCGCCTCCTCCAGCAATCCTTATGGAGTGTGGACAAACCTTAGAAATGTATCACATGCAATGTTTAAATGTAGTTACTGTAAGACTGGTTTGTGCTCAAATCCTCTTTTTGAAAGTTATTAGAGGGTTCATGTTTTCTATGATTGACACTTGATACAGCCTATGGGTGTACAAAGATTGCATAGCTCACCCAGAGGATACGCTGTTTGAGCCGAGCGTCATCACACCGACTCTTGGCGATTCTTCCGCCAAATGCGTACAATGCTACTGCACAATGTTGGTTTCAGGAAGTGGAGAAAAAAAATAAAAACACAGAGAGTTTTTTGGCTTCAAATCTGTATACTGGCGGAAGGCGGAACCAAGTTGTCCATAGTATATACCAGTGTTGTTTTTGGCAGGCATTTTAGATTTAGTTTTAGTCTTAGTCATTTTGACGAAATGCTTCTTCGTTTTAGTCCCATTTTAGTCATTTCTATCCTTGATAGTTTTCATCTAGTTTTAGTCCGACGAAAACTCAAAAGGTTTTAGTCTAGTTTTAGTCGACGAAAAGGTGCCTTTTGAGGTTCATGGTGTTCTTTCCCGACAGTTTGAAGCCGCAGCATGAGGAAGCTGTGGCTCCACAACTGTCGTCTGTCTCGTCTCCCCGTCCCCGTACAAGACATTGTGTTTTATTGTCACTTGAACTGTATCTGAAGTAGGACCAAAAATCATCCCTCTTTTTTCGGCCACCGGGCACCGCTGCTGTGCCTGCCGCCACGGTGTGTGTTTGCGCGCACCTCGTCCACCTGCCACTCTGTGTATGTGTATGAGTGTGTGCGCGCAGCTGTGCGCGAGCGAGGCTTTTGGTGCGTGTGTAATGGGGGCGTGACTGTTAGGACAAAAAAAAGCATGTTTTGAAACTTTGTTCGTCCACCTAATAACAATTTAGTCTCGTCTCGTTCTCGTCTGACGAAAATGAATATAATGTTTGGTGACGTTCGTCTTAGTCTCATTTTCGTCGAGGAAAAAAGGGGTCTGACGTCGTCATTTAAGTTTTCGTCCTGCCTGACGAAAACAACGCTGGTACATACAGTCTATAGGCGTAACATTGCACTCCGTTTGTGTTCAACACTTTGCCAGTGGGTTCTGTTGTGCTCAAGACCACCCACAAACCAGACCACATGATGACGAAATGACTGTTATCATTATAGACCCATCAGCTGAGGACAGACAGCAGTTGAAGAAGCAGTCACAGATTAGCCTGCTGCTCTTCACAAGAGCTTGTCGTTGAATACACCAATCCTACAGATAGATGCTACATATTCCTTACTTCAAAATATACAAATATAACATACAGACTAAACGTACACCAAAATTATGTTAGCCTATCAACAAACTAACCAGATAGTATTCTGTACATAATGTGTGTAGTTGATAGAAAGTATGTTGGTGTGTGGTTCGAAACGCACACATTATTTATAGTTTCAGAATGAGAATCAAAGCTAACTACAAGAGTGAGTGAAGTGATGGTTATGATGTTCCACTTAAGCTAGATAGCCTTATCCTCTATTCTTTAGTGAAGACAGCAGACTTTATTTGAAAAGTGATAAACATGTTCAATTGTATGGTGAATTGAAATGATAGGCCTTTAAAGTGTGTGCTCGTAAATGTGTGTAAGCAGTCTCAAGGTGAAGAGAGCGTCAGATGGAGGCTAAATGCAGCCTAAATGCCTGAAAGGACATGAGATATCTTTCAAGTCAAATTACCCTGGATGCCTTGTTGCACAAGTATCCTCCATATACCTCAATTTGAAGTGTGGGTTATTTTTCCTGCTCTGAGGGCTGGTCTACCTCACCTTCCCCGCCACATTGGATTTAAGCGTCTCTTTATATAACCGACACGCCTGCGTGTGAGTCATGATGATGTGAGAGGCTCAGATGGTAAAGGAGTCCCAACTGGTGCCCAAAAGACGTGTCACTGGTAATACCACCCCCCCAGACCTGAGGTGTCTCCTTTTGTTGTGCTGTAGGCCTCTGTGATCTGTGTGGAAGGGCGGCACATCGGGGCCCAGGCATGCCGTTAGCAGCTCACTAATATAGCATTAGCTCCACAGTCATCTCGGTGGGCCTGCGCTGTCTCAACCGTTTCCTCACGCTTGGGTACACACACCTTCTGTGGGTCCACACCGCTTGTTAGCAGACGACTCCCTCTTATCCCCTCCCCCTTGCTGTGTCTCCTCCTAGGCCTGTATTCTCCCTCCTTTTATTTCTCATCTCTCATTCACTCCATCCTCCTTTTCAAGGGTCACGAGGGCCCCAGCTGAAGCTCCTGTTAGCACAATCACACACATGAAAATGTCCCATCTAACTGGCATCTGACAGTCCCACAAAAAAAAGTCAAGTTCAGGGAAAGAGCAGAGTGCCATCAGATCCCTTTCCTCCCTCCTTGTGTTTGGGTTTGTTGGGTTTTGCCACAGGCGACCTGGAGGGGAAAGAGATGCTTGTTAAGGAGACGTTCCTGGGAATGCAGCTTGAATGCCGCCTTGGGAGCTCAAATCTACCCACTAATGTGTCTGTCCCTGTGAGACGCAAATCTTCCTGGCAATGAAACACATTCTGTTACCACACACACACACACACACACACAGACAGACAGACACACTGTGTAAGTCACAGATCCCGGCCAGACAAAATCTTGCTTACCCCTGGGGAAGAGAGGAGAGGAGGCAGTTGTGAGGTAGAGAGAGAAGGGGAAGAAGGCGGGGGAATTTAGGGGGATATGGAAGTCAGATTAAGGAGGTAGATGACATTTCACACATCCTGACAGGGGGGCATTAGATAGAAACAAAAGGGGTGCCAGAGAGGTGGGGAGGCAAAGGGTTGATGAAATTAGTAAAAGGAAAGAAAGAACCGAGTGAGACAGCAGGCAAAGAATTTGTAGTGTTAGAGAAAGATCAGGAGTTAGGGGCTGGATTTAGAAAGTTTCTGGTTTTTGCTAGCTCTGGGGGCATGTTGGGGAGAAAGCCTCATCTAAGGGTGAGGTGTGAATGGGTTCAAAAGGGGTGAAAGTGTGGGGTGAGCAGGGCGTAGAGCAGTGTTCTTGAGGGAGCGTGGAGGCTCCTTGGAGTCCTGGCACCTTATGGCATGGCCTGCAGTCAAACAGATGCTG